ATTACCTATTTGATTTTAATTGGTAATTGATTTGCGTCAAAGTTAATGTAATGTTAATATAATGAGCATGTAAAAAATAAAGCAAAAAAAAAAAGTATGAGGATAATATGTGGTGAATTAATTATTTATGCACAAATTGATTTATTTCAATATTTTATGCACCAATTGATTTATTAAATATATTATTATGCATTAACACTTTTTTTATGGTGCAAATAATAATTAATTTATTATTAATTTATAAAAATTCGAGTACAATCATTTGATGTATCTTCGCAAATGAAAGAAAATATCATTTGATTCGATCTCATTTGTTGCTTAGATCCATGTTCTAACGAATCTGGATCTCATTTTTTTGAGTGTTGTTTAGTGACTCTTTAAATTTGTTGAATCACGGGGAGAAAAAAAAAAAAACACTAAATAAGTGTTTGTTGTTATTTGTTGAAGTTGAATTTGAGGAAGAAATTTGTCTTCAGAATTCGTGCACGACTTTGGATGTGCTTATTGTTCTTCTTCTTTGATTAATTATAGAATTTTCAATTTCTAGATGTACCCTTCCTCCATGCTTTTATTTATAAGCTTCTTAAATTAATAGAATGATGACATGTGTCATCTCATGATAAAGACATAATCATAATTGGTCGGGGCAGGATGAATGTCATTATATTTTATAATAATAGTATAGATATAGATATAGATTTTATGTTACAGTTTTATAGAAATTCTTTTAATAATGGCATAAATTTATTAAGTAATTTGTAATTTGAATTTATATAAACTTTTTTAGCAATAGTATAAATTTATTTGGTAATTTGTAATTTAAATTTTATTAAGTAATTTGAGAGTGGTGATTTATTTTATTAGGTAATATTTTTTAGAAACAAATAAATAAATAGGTAATTTTAGTTTTATTAGGTAATTTTTAGAGTTTTATAGATTTATTTTATTAGGTAATTTTTTGTAGAAACAAATAAATAATTAAGTAATTTGAATTTTATTAGGTAATTTTTAAAACTTTATATCAATTAATAAATAATTTTTTATATTGATAAATAAATATTGAAACACTGAAACTCTTTACACATTTAATAATAGTAGATAGATTAGTGAAATTGTACGTTCGTGTGGTAAACTTTAATTTAAAATTAATATTTAATAAAATAATTATAAATTCTAAAATATCCATGAACATAAAATTGACACAATATAAAAAAGATAAAAATATAATTTTTAATTGAACTTTACAATATGAATTCAATTATTAATAGGTGTATTTTAAAACTCCTAAAACAAAATCAAAATCAAGACTATTTTTTATTATAATCTACTAATATTTTATTTATTTATATATTGTTTATAAAATTAGAAAAGATGTGGAGACTAAATTATTTATATATTTCCTTGTCCAATGAAAAAGACTAAATTATTTATTTTCTTTATATATTTCATTCTAATTAGATTTCTTTTTATTATAAAAACTTATAATAATTAGGTAATTTGTGTTATTATAAAAGGAAACATGCATACTGAACATATAAATTTATTATTAAAATAATGTACTATTGCACGTAAGTAAAATCTAATTTAAAATCAATATTTGATAAAGTAATTAAATAATTATAAATTCTAAAATATCAATTAACATAAAATTGAAATATAATTTTTAATTAAAATTTACAATATGAATTCAATTATTGATAGGTGTGTTTCAAACTCCTAAAATAACATCAATATCAAGACTATTTTTTATTACAATTTACTGATATTTTATTTATTTACATATTGTAAAATTATCTATAAAAGTTGAAAAAAATGTGGAGACTAAATAGACTAAATTATTTATATTTTTTTTGTACATTTCCTTGTCTAATTAGAAAGACTAACTTATTTATTTTCTTTATATATTTCGTTATATAATTATATTTTCTTTTATTAAAAAAACTCAAATTACCTATTTATTTTGAATTTTATGGAAACTCTTCTAAACACTTTATATTGATTATAAAATAAAAATAAATAATAAATAAGTAATTTGTGTTATTCTAAAAGGAAACATACATCTGTAACATATAAATTTATTATTAAAAATTAATGTATTAAAACACATTAATGATACACATTAATGACTTACTTTATTTTCAGTTAGTACCTTCTTTTTTTTCTTAAATCATCCGACTTAGCTTTTTCTCTCTCAAACCGTCGAACACGACCCCTAATTAAATCTTATGAAGATTCCAATTAGAAAGCATTCGTCACTAACAAAAAAATGTGAATTGTTGTTGGGGAGTTTTTATTATTATTATTATTATTTTATTAATCACGGCAATAAGCCATAATCTATAGTTGGACACTTAATACCTGCACTTATATATATATTACACACACATATTTATCGATTGCAGTATTTTGTAATTTCTCTATTTCTCCTATTTTATGTCTTAAAAAATTGCTTTTATGTTACACCCAAATAATATCAAAATCAAGACTATTTTTTATTACAATTTACTAATATTTTATTTATTTATATATTAGAAAATTATTTATATATTATTTATAAAATTAGAAAAGATGTAGAGACTAAATCGACTAAGTTATTTATATTTTATTGTATAATTAGAAAGACTAAATTATTTACTTATCTTATTAGTATTAAAAAAAGTCATAATAAATAAGCAATTTGGGTTTTAGAAGAGTTTATATTTCCTTATATAATTAGATTTTCTTTTATTAAAAATTTGAGTTTTATAGAAATTTTTTAAACAACGTATATTAATTTTAAAATAAAAACAGATAATAAATAAGTAATTTGTGTTATTCTAAAAGAAAACATACATACGTAGCATATAAATTTACACACTTTAATGTATTGTGAAACTCTTTGTACTTTTAATAATATATATATAATATATAAATTTGTGTTATTCTAGAAGGAAACATTACAAATTTACACACTTTAATGTACTGAAACACATACAAAAAATAATGTGCTAAAACACATTAATGTACGGAAAACGATTATTCTAAAAGGGAACATATATATTGAACATATAAATTTACACACTTTAATGTAATGAAACACATATGAAAAATAATGTATTGAAACTCTTTGTACATTTACTATACGTAGATAAAGTAAATTTGTTAAAAATCTCTATAACACACTATAATAGGGACAACGACTATAGACTCAAATTTTTACATAATAAATTTTTTTTTTTTTAAAGTTAAAGTAAATACACATCCATTATTCATAATATGTCTCTATTGCTACTCAAACTCTCAATTTATAAAGAAGGAAAAATCATAACTATTACTCAGACAAAAATAAAATAAAATAAAATATAAAAATAAAATAACAATAAGTATAATAATAATAATAATAATCCTTAGACCGCTACAACAAAACAGTGGTGTGGCAGCAAAATTTTAACAGCATTAAAAAACAAAAAAATGCTGCTATTGCTATTGTGGAAACATGGGCCCATTTTATGTCCTTTTCATTGCAAGTGCATATCATTCCACTAGTAATGGTTGTGATAGAATTTGCAAATAGGACAAAGAAAATAGATCTTTATTTACTGATTTAAACAGCTACAAATTTATGTTTTGATATATCAAGTTAGAAGATTTACTGGGAAAAGAAAAAGGTTGAAGCTTACTTGGAAAATGATATAAGAGGGAGAGAATTTTTATTTTTTATTTTTAAGGCACTATGTTTTTTATATATAATATATTGAGTATGATACATTAATTGAAAAAATGAAATGTCTTGAATATATATATATATTTTTAACGAGTGCGAACATCATATTCCAATAATAACAATAACAATAGTGGCATCTTCCAAAAAGTGTATCGTTTAATGTATATTATTAAGAATGATGCCACTTCAAAATTGCACATTTGGAAGTAAACACTTTGCACAATATTATTTACACAGTTTTCAACTATTATTATTATTTTTTCATCCCAAAAATCGGTAAAAACACAAACTTTTGCAAAAAAAAAAAAAAAAAAAAACCCCAGTTTGGTGACGAAATAGTCACACTTAGTGAGGAATTAATTCATATTGGTTAATAATTCCGTAGACTGTTTGCACAATAAAACTTGAATTATGGTAAGTCTCCCTATGTTATATATAAGATTATAAATTTTCCTCTACCCTTTTCGTTTATTGCAATACATGAGAAAGTGATTTTATATTTTATATTCTTAGAAATTTTGAAGTTCCAATTTTTAACATATAATATATTTAATTTTGGCAACAATTAGTTACCATTAACAAAATTTTGGAAAGATGGTGTGGTGGTACAAAATCACTATATGGTAAGTTGATATTAATTTTTTAAACTAGTTACAACTATACATATCAATTTTTAACATATACTATATTTAATTTTGGCAACAATTAGTTACCATTAACAAAATTTTGAAAAGATGGTGTGGTGGTACACAATCACTATAAGGTAAGTTGATATTAATTTAATAAACTAGTTACACTATCGTAATATGTATACAGAATATAGTATTTTCTCTCTTACGGAAGTATTTTTCTTTCTTTTCCAAAAAATATCTCTCTTTACGGAAGGTTCTTTCTTTCTTTTTTACTTTTCTGGAAAATATCTCTCTTCACGGAAGGTCCTTTCTTTCTTTTTTCCTTTTCCGAAAAGTATCTCTCTTACGGAAGTTATTACCATAAAACCATGAGGCGATCGATGGTTCGTAATTCTTAAAGCTCTAGAAAAGGCAAGTGGGTCAATTTACACATGTCACAGTATCAATTGGTCAATTCCATGTAAAAACTTGTTACCATGTGATTCTTAACTCATAAATCAAATGTAGCAAGAAACCTTTTCAAAACTCTATGGAAAATAAACTTTAAAAAAAAAAAAGACTCTATGGATAATCCTATATTATTTAATACAGTACTGTAATAAAATCTTCTCTAGCCTGGCCCACCAACCCAACCGCCCTACGTAGCTCCCCCCTCCCCTTCGTCCCAAACTTCCCCCACAACCCTGTATTGCCCCTTATAAATTTGCAGTTACCAAATGAATCGACCAATTCACACAAACGCAAAAGCAAAATATACCATATCAATATCACACAGAATCTTCACATATCCACTTTCCATTTCTGTACCTTTCTCCCTCTATAAAACTAACCCTTTTGCTCCCTCTTTCTCCCATCCCAAATCGAAACCCTATTATTCCTTTGCATTCTTTACTTCTCTGTTGCCGTCCATGGCTCCAAGTTTGAACAAAGCTGGTTCTGGTACTACAGTCAATAATGCCTATAGCATGTCATCAATAACCTTGGAGGGTTCAAACTTCATGGCCAATGGCCATGTCTTTCTCTCCGACGTCCCTTCCAATATTGTAGCCTCTTCTTCTCCTTATGCCGCCACCGATAAGGCGGAGGCAACCACCCCCGGCTGCTTTGTCGGGTTCAATGCTCCCGAACCCGAAAGCCGGCATGTTGTTCCCATAGGAAAGCTCAAGAACATCAAGTTCATGAGTATCTTTAGGTTCAAGGTCTGGTGGACAACCCACTGGATCGGAACCAACGGCGGAGACCTCGAGAACGAGACGCAGATGGTGGTTCTTGAGAAATCCGACTCCGGTCGTCCCTATGTGTTGCTTCTTCCACTCTTGGAAGGCCCTTTTCGGGCTTCTCTTCAGCCCGGTGTGGAGGACAACGTTGACATTTGTGTGGAGAGCGGGTCCACCAAGGTGAGCGGAGCTTCGTACCGGAGTGTGCTTTACGTGCAGACCGGCGACGACCCGTTTGCCCTTGTGAAGGAGGCCATGAAGGTTGCTAGAGTTCATCTTGGAACATTCAAGCTTTTGGAGGAGAAGACTCCACCGAGTATCGTGGATAAGTTTGGTTGGTGCACATGGGATGCATTTTACCTTACGGTGCATCCTCAGGGTGTGTTGGAGGGCGTGAAAGGGCTGGTTGATGGTGGGTGCCCACCCGGGTTGGTGATTCTTGATGATGGGTGGCAGTCCATATCTCATGATGATGACCCGTTAACCCAAGAAGGCATGAATCGGACCTCTGCCGGTGAACAAATGCCATGCAGGCTCATAAAGTTTCAAGAGAACTACAAGTTTCGGGACTACGAGAGTCCTAGAAGTTCAGGCTCGGGTGCCCCTAACAAGGGTATGGGTGCCTTTGTGAGGGACCTGAAGGAGGAGTTTAAGAGTGTGGACTCTGTGTATGTGTGGCATGCTCTTTGTGGGTACTGGGGTGGTGTCAGGCCCAATGTTGCAGGACTACCAGAATCAAAGGTGGTGGTCCCCAAGTTGTCGCCTGGTCTGCAGATGACTATGGAAGATCTGGCCGTTGATAAGATCGTGAACAATGGTGTTGGGTTGGTCCCACCAGAAGTGGTTGAACAGATGTACGAGGGTCTTCACTCCCACTTGGCGTCGGTTGGGATTGATGGAGTCAAAGTGGACGTTATTCATGTGAGTTTATTTATTTATTATTTTTTTTTGTTTGACGCTTAGTTTTCGATTGCCTTTCAATTTTTTTGGGTTACTGTTAGATTCGTTGACCTTGGACACTTACATGTCACCTTAAAACATGTCCTTATTATCATAGCTTTATTTATCTTTCTTTGACTTGTTGGTCGGCACGTTTGCAACTAATTTTGTTATTTTGATTTTTAGTTTTGAATATTCTCTTGTTAAATGTGTTTTTTTTGTTGCAGTTGTTAGAGATGTTATGTGAGGATTACGGTGGCAGAGTGGAGCTGGCGAAGGCATACTTCAAGGCCTTGACATCTTCCGTGAGGAACCATTTCAATGGGAACGGTGTCATTGCTAGTATGGAGCATTGCAATGACTTTATGTTTCTTGGAACTGAGGCCATAACACTTGGCCGTGTAGGTACGTTGTCAAAATTTCATATATATTAATTTATAGTAGTGTATATATATGCGTGTAACTAAGATGACAAAATGTTCACACATATTCATGTTATTCTGATGAACAGGAGATGATTTCTGGTGCACCGATCCATCTGGGGATCCTAATGGCACATTCTGGCTACAAGGGTGTCACATGGTGCACTGTGCTTACAATAGCTTGTGGATGGGGAACTTCATACAACCCGATTGGGACATGTTCCAGTCCAATCACCCTTGCGCCGAGTTCCACGCCGCATCCCGGGCCATATCCGGCGGACCCATTTATGTCAGTGACTCCGTCGGCAAGCACAATTTCCAACTTCTCAAGAGCTTGGTGTTGCCCGATGGTTCCATCTTGCGTTGCCAGTACTTTGCCCTCCCAACTCTTGATTGTCTCTTTCAAGACCCTCTTCATGATGGAAAAACCATGCTCAAAATTTGGAACATGAACAAGGTTAGATCGTTTTCTTTATTGCGTTCAAGATTATTAATTAGCAACTTTTGCTTTGTGATATAGTTTTAATTTTTCATCAATCTTACAGTGGTTTTTTTTTTTCCAATTGTTTGTGACAGTTCACTGGTGTTCTTGGAGCTTTTAACTGCCAAGGAGGAGGATGGTGTCGCGAGACTAGGACTAACAAATGCTTCTCTGAGTACTCCCATCTGGTGACATCCATGGCCAGTCCAAAAGACATTGAGTGGAAGAACGGAACAAACACAATCTCCATTGAAGGAGTGCAAGTGTTTGCCATGTACATGTTCCGCGAAAAGAAAGTGGTGCTGTTGAAGCCATCGGAGACCATAGAAATTTCCCTTGAACCATTCAACTTTGAGCTCATAACTGTCTCTCCTGTCACAACATTGGCAAACAAGTCCGTCCACTTTGCTCCAATTGGGCTAGTGAACATGCTCAATTCTGGTGGCGCAATCCAGTCGCTGGAGTTCGACGATGAGGCTGGTTCGGTTCGGGTTGGGGTGAAAGGAACTGGTGAAATGAGGGTGTTTGCTTCAGAGAAACCGAGAGCTTGTCAGGTTAATGGGGAAGACGCTGCATTTGTCTATGAGGGGCACATGGTCGTAATTCCAGTGCCATGGTCTGGCTCTAGTTTGTCTACTGTGGAGTACATATTTTGAAGCTGGGGTTGAGATTTACTAGTATTATTAGGTTTTGAGATTTAATAGTACTGTATTATGCTTTCTTTTTATTTAAGTGTGACTATATATGGGTGTTTCTTGGAATTAGGAATATTGGTCAATGAATTTCAAGTAATACAATAGCTAAATGTGATTTTTATTTTTCCATTCCTCCTTATTTTGTCATTTTTTGCTTCGACTCCTAATTCCTTGGTAGACTACATCAATATGGTACAAGTCAATCAACATTCTTGTCTCTCCTATATGATCTCTTTTTTCCGCGGCCAGTACTCCTATTTGATTGACAAAAAGAAAAAAGAAAAAAAATGTGAAAATGTGACTTTGTTACTTCTGATATTAGTCGAGATGATATCTACAAGCTTGTTCTTGGATCTTGGTTTAAAGGGAACTTTGGGCCTTAATTTGGGTAAATCAATTTCATCTCCGATTAACAAGAAAAATTGTATTTGTCCGGTTAGTTCATCAAAATAAAGCATCCTTATAAGTTCACCCATGAGTATCATTTAGACCAAAACATAAAACTAAAAGCAAATACCACCAACTCTTCTTCATTAATCAAGAGTTATTAATACACATTGTCTCGTTAAAAATTCCAATCTAACCCAACCCAACCCAAATCGAATTTAATAGTAATTCATGGATCTAGGAAAAACACCAATTCTAGTCCAAATGTCATAAGCTATGTAGGCTGTATGGAATTGAAATTTAGAAATTGAAATTGATTGAATTGAAAAAAAGTTTAGTTCAATTTTGTATAATTTTGAACTAAAACTTTTCACCAATTATACTAGTTTTAATTTTAAAACTCCAATTCTATATAACCGAAGATAACCTAATAAAATTTTATTTTAATTCCACTCTAATTCCTCTCCATTTTAATTGCATGTCACTTTTCCGAAGAATTCAACTTCAAACAAAGGTTATTGTATAAAAATGGGCCATCATAGTAGTGGAAGCCTCATAAGCTGGTCAATTCCTCAATTACATTTATAAGTGGGTGCCCCAAATTGGAGGATAGCATGGGCCACATAGTACCAAATAGTCAAAATCATGCATTGGGGGCTAGTCAATTCCTCAATTTCATTTAATGGAGGATAGCTAGAACTAGAATAGGCCTGGATCAGCTATACGCATTGGAGACTGGCCCATTACTAATACTACATGATTACTACATGATTAGGTTTTGAGATTTACTAGTATTATTAGGTTTTATTTTTTTTTAAGTGTGACAATACATGGGTGTTCCCTGGAATTAGGAAATATTGCTCAATGAAGTTTAAGTAATACAATAGCTAAATGTGGTTTTTATTTTTCCTTCATCCTTATTTTGCCAATTTTGCTTCGACTCCTAATGTCTTGGTAGACTACATCAAATTTTTTCTTTTCCCAATACTCCTATTTGATTGATTAAAAAGAAAATGTGACTTTGTTACTAATGACATTATATGCACAGATGATATCTACAAGCTTGTTCTTGGATCTTGGTTTAACGAGAACTTTGGGCCTTAATTTGGGTAAATCAATTTCTTATAATCTCCAATTAATGAGAAAAAGGCTTGTACTGTGTTTGAAATTGCCGAATTTGGATTTCAAAAGGAATTTTATAAGAAAATTTTGTAAGTTTTCAAGTCTCTCATACTCATTTATATCAATTCTTGTGTTTGAAACCTCAGGATTTTACCGAATTTGGAATTTTACAAGGAATTTTCATACCAATTCTAGTCCAAATGTCGATTCTATTAACCTAACATAAACTAATAAAATTTTATTTTAATTCCACTCCAATTCCTCTCTCACAGTCCCTTCATTTTAGTTACATTTCACTTTTCCAAATAATTTGATTTCAAACGATGGTTATTGTATAAAAATGGGCCATCATAGTAGTGGAAGCCTTCATTAGTTTTGGGTTTTCATTTTAACATAAGTGGGGTGCAGCCTAGCCCCAAATTGGAGGATAGCATGGGCCGCATAGTACCAAATAGTCGAAATCAAGTATTGGGCTTTCCATTTAAACATTTTACCCACATTAGCTACTCCTTTCCTTAATTTCATTTAAAGGAGGATAGATAGTATGGGCCAAATGGACGATAGCTAGACCTAGAATAGGCCTGGATCAGCCGTACACATTGGTGACTGGCCCATTACTAATAATACATGATTACAAGAATAAAGAATTTGACAATTCTGAATGTCGTCACCATTTTTATTAATGATAAACTTCGAAGCAAAAACCCAAGTCAAAATCATAATCCAAATATAATAATATATATATACACCCACATACACGTTAACTTCTCTCTGGTTCTATGTAGAGATTTTACTCGTAATTCAGAACTCGATGAATCCGTTCACGGACAAGCAGGTCATGGATCTATCAAATTCGCAGAGCAACGCCGACTTTATCAATCTCTTGAACCCTCAAGAGGACCACAACGGTGATGGTAAAAAAGAAGAGATCGTCCGGAGTTATGATTTTCAGCCAATCCGGCAACCCAATCTCGATTCGAGCAATGTTGGAGAAACTAGGGTTTGGGATTCTGCTGATTCAAACACCAATTCCACTAGCATTGGTGTCAGAGTAATTTCTCTCTCTGTAAACATGCGCTTACATTTATCTAAGTCTGTACATATATATTAATGCAGAGATAAAACTACACCCGCACTAGAAAGCGAGATTTTTAGGGCTTAATTGGTTTCAATTCCTTGGTGTATACATTTAATATATACTGTAATAGCTCTCTTTTTTCTTTTTACTTGAATTTTTATGGCTTCTCCGGTGATTCTACTGATTATATGGGTTTTTGTAGGTTTTGAGAAATTTTATGACTTTGAATTCTGAATAAATTATTTGTGCTAGTTTGTCTTTTCACTTATTAAAAATTGAACTTGTTTTGCCTACTAGGCATTATGTTAATTGTTAAATATTATTTTGTGGATGCATTGCTAGTGTATCGGTCTAATAGGTATTTCTGGAGTTCGTTATAGTTGAGGGATCATTCAGATTTTATTGATTTGTAATGACTAAAACAAATTGACGGTGTCTTGTGAAACAAATGGTTGTCTGTGAAGTGTGTTAAAAATGAATTTGAGGCATGCTGTTTGAAGCTGTTGTTGAGGCAGCTTTTTAGATTTAGTTTGCAAATCATAATTTTATATGTTTGTGATCTTTCTCTCTTTTCTATCCATTTCTAATTTTTTTTCTTATTTTCTGCTGGAGCTTTCAAAGTGGAATTTAGTATGTATGATTGGATCTGTGAAGTGATTGGGTCTGTGAAGTGATGGATAGAACTTTGAGAATTATATTGTGGATAATTCAAAAATCTATAATTGTTTTTTCTGTTATAGGAGTCATGAGACTCATAACAAGTGCCCTGGAAGTTCAATAAGATTATTCCATATATGCGCTTCTATCCATTTCTTATTTTCTGCTGGAGCTTTCAAAGTGGAATTTAGTATGTTTGCTTGGGTCTGTGAAGTGATGGATAGAACTTCGAGATTTACATTGTGGATAATTTAAACATCTATAATTGTTTTTCTGTTATAGGAGTCACGAGACTCATAACAAATGCCCTGGAAGTTCAATAAGATTATTCCATATATGTGTTATGATCAATCCTATAGAGAAGAGGAAGCGGTAAATTACTAGTTAAAAAAAAAGAAGCAGAAGAAAAGGAAAAAAAAAAAATGTTCTAGAATTAGATTTTATTCAACAATTGTTTTAAATTTTTTTTTTTAAATAACAATTTCATTAATTTGATTCCACTTTGAGAAAAATGTCATTATTACCTTGATAAAAGATTAAGAGAAAAAATGTAACATATTAATGAAACAAATTTTTACAAACTTGAAAGAAACACATTAGCTTTAATTAGTAACTTATACAAGTAGTAACTATAGAGTTTGTCATCTAAAAAGTGACAAACTAAAAATATTAGCATATATAATAAAATTGTTGTTGTTGGCATTCTTTAAATCTTTATCTCACAATATTTTACTTTTTTCTACTTCCCAATACTCTCAAGACTTGCAGATGGAGTGTAATTTTAGATATTTTTCTTGTAGACATCATTTAAGGAAAATGATTGACAAGGAAGGTTAATGTATTTTTATTAAATACGAAATATTAGTGTAATTTCTTCTTTTTCTCTCTTGAATTCGTATAGTGGATATTATACATGTGTAAATATAAATGATGAAATAAATATGTATTGTAGCAAAAACTACCCTAACAACGAACTTATATTTTTATCTAACAAGATTTGGTCAAAATTGCAAATTTTTGAGAAGACAAAGTTATTTTTTCTTCTAAACACATAATTTGGGACAAAAACAAAGGTGTTGATGATGATGATGAAACTCATAATTATTGGGGCCTATGAATATCTTTTTTGGGGCACTTAAAATTTTCTATGAATGTTGGGGATCACAAGTTAGTTCATTTGCAATATAACTTTTTTGGGGGTTATAAGTTGAAATTTGAAAATTTTTGGGGGGCCACCCCAGCTCCCTCTACCTCTGCCCCTGGTGCAGTTTGAGGATGTTTGGTATGAAGGCTGTTATATTAAGTTTGTCAATTGGTTGTATTGTGGGATTATAGTTCCTCATGAGTAAGGCAGGAAGAGTTTATTGTCTTTTGGGAGATTCATTAGAATTTATGTGGAGAATCATTTCATTTTCAGTTCGCACTGTTTGTTGGCACCTGTGGAAACTAGTAGTAGTCCAATGATATTCTTTCGTTGATGTTGCCTATTTCTTTTCCGAAGAGTGAAATTGGGATTGTTTTTCAGTAGAACATAGTCGTAAAAATCATGTCACATTTTTGTGGTGAATTTAGAAAGATCTAATAGGAGGATGGGAGTCTGTTAAATATTAACGTCTCAGGCTCATACCTGGACTGATAAATTTTATTTTGGAGTTGTTAATATAACGGTTGCTTTCTACATCGGATTGCTCAGCATGCATCATTATTAGTCTTCTTTTCCCTAAATGTAGTTGAAAGGGGTTGTTAGGCAATGAATATGAGCTGTGTGGCAATTTCGAATAATTATGCTGAAAATTTGAAGGAATTATGGTTTTTATCATAGGTTGTGGAACTACCTTTATGTTTTCTCCTTCTTCTCTCGTTTGTTTCATTCATGTGTGTGCATCTTTTCACAAATATTTCTCAAGCAATGAAATTAGTCCCCTCTATTCGGCCACACCATGTCATGTCATATATGGAATTCTCTTTTGTAAGTACCAGTTTGTTTGTTGGAATGTGAACAGTTGTTTGGCTGCTGCGGTCTTGTATTCATACTCTTGCTAATATTTGATATGGTTCTTCCATGTTCTGTACAGAACTACATTTCTACCGACTCCGCTGAACCTCCAAAAGTCATTTTAGAGAAAGATCGTAATGTCATCGATTCAGCTTTGGTGTCTGAGATTGATCTAACAATGAAGAAACATACTGATAATCTGCTCAATGCATTGGAAGGTGTTAGTGCACGATTATCTCAGCTGGAGACAAGAACTCACCATCTTGAGAACTCTGTGGATGATTTGAAGGTATCTGTTGGAAATAATCGTGGAAGCACTGACGAGAAGATGAGACAGTTGGAAAATATTCTTAGAGAGGTAGCTTCTCCTTCTATCTTTTTGTTTATTGATACATAAAGATTTGGGATGCATTTGTTTTAAGGAACAACTAGATGCAACTTGCAAGCTTGGGATTTAGTTAACTTGCACTGCACTTTAAGAAAATTGATAGTTGGTCTGTACAAAATTTTATGCTATTTCTAGAATTGTGAGTCTTTTAAATATTTGAGCATTCTTTTAAATATTTGAGCAGGCTTTGGATTTAGTTAACTTGCACTGCACTTTAAGAAAATTGATAGTTGGTCTGTACAAAATTTTATGATGTATCCAGAATTGCACGTCTTTTAAATATTTGAGCATTGTTTCCGAAGATTTATGAGGCTTTTCTTGCCTTGTTTGTCTTGTATCATGCATACGGAACATAGTATATCATCATTATGTTATTGTGTGCAGTTCGCACTGTAATCTGAGTCAGATAGATGATCAAGTCCCATTAGGACTGTCGATAATATTGTGGTATCATTTAAGGAATTCAGGAGGTTTTCATAGTGGTGTTTGAATCTTATTAGGCTACCATGATGATTTATATTAGCTTTAGAATCAAGTCATTAAAAAAAAACTATTTTATTGACAAGAATGTCACAGTAGGGCAGTATATCATTTATAGGTTTCCTTCCCTGTTTGTGTTTGGAGGAGGCAGTATATCGTTTTTAGGTTTCCTTCCTTGTTTGTGTTTGGAGGAGCAAAAATCCAATTGAAGCTCCTCCGGACTAATTCATTTTGCAATTTAGCCCATGTTTTTTGCTGCTTTATTGATCATTTGGTTTGCCCTTTTGGTGTTCATCAACAATTGCGTGCAGGTACAAGCTGGTGTGCAGGTTATAAAGGATAATCAAGAAATAGTAGGGGCTCAGTTGCAGCTTGTGAAGCTTCAGGTGCCAATGGTAGAGCAACAATCAGAAGCTCAGAAGACTGGGCATGTAGATTCCCTACACCAGGCAGCACCCGCTGCTCAGCAATCTCACCAACAACTCCCTCCTGCGGCTGTTATACAACCACCTTTTAGTCTCCCTCCACCTAACGTTCCTCCTCCACCCACTTCGCAACAGAATTTGCTACCTCCAGTTCAGCTTCAAAGTCAATTCCCTCAGAATCAGATTCCTTCTGTCCCTCAGCGGGAGTCTTACTTTCCCCAACCTGGTCAGACACAAGATGCAAATCAGCAATTCCAACCAACTCCTCCACAACAGCAGCAGCTTCTTCCTCCATCACTACCACATCAACAGTTTCAGCCTCCCCCTCACCCACAGTATGCTCAGCCACCCCCACCACGTCAACAGCACCCATCTATCTCAGCTGTTAATCCTTCTCAACCTCAACCTCAACCTCAACCTCAACCTTCATTAGGGCACCATCCAGACGAAACAACTTACATATCATCTCAAAACTATCCTCAAAGTCCTAGCCAACCATCACATCCACCCGGTGGAGCTCCTCCTTCCCAACAGTTATATGCGACTCCCTCCCACATGTATGAGCCACCATCCAGCAGACCTGGTTCAGGATTTTCTACTGCATATGGCCCACCTTCTGGGCCTATTGAACCGTATCCTTATGGTGGATCAGCTTCTCAGTATGGAAGTGGTTCCTTAATGAAACCACATCACCTCCCTCTTCCTGCCGTGGCCCAGAGTGGTGGAAGCAGTTACCCCCAACTCCCAACTGCTAGGATTCTACCACATGCCTTGCCTACTACTACTTCTGGGGTTGGTAGTGGGTCTGGATCAGCTGGAACAGGAAACAAGGTTTCTATTGATGATGTGGTTGAGAAAGTAACAAATATGGGATTCCCAAAAGACCACGTGAGAGCCACAGTTCGAAAGTTGATAGAGAGTGGACAGTCGGTTGATTTGAATGTAGTGCTGGATAAATTGATGAATGATGGAGAAGGGCAGCCCCAGATGGGTTGGTTTGGTCGGTAAGAAGGTTTTTCTGATTTTTGCTCATGTATAGAAGTATTGTGCAGCGTATTTCTAGACCAATGTGGGAATCTCATGCACTGAGCTAGCGTTTATTTACATTTTGCTTTGCTGGCTTTTTTCTTCTTTGCTTTTTTTTATTAACAGATGTTTGTGACAAAAAAAAAAAAAAATCAACTTTATTTATCCTCATAATAATTGAAAGTTGATTATCAGATGTTAAAGACTGTCATTTGGTACCTGCTGCGGCTTTGCTGGAGCTTTGGAAATGCCAACTGTGTGTGTGCATGTGCGCATCTTTGTATCTGAATAATCCATCCTTGAAGATAGTTCTTATTAGAAGCAAGAAGCAAAGTGTTGTCAATCAATATGTAGCCAGGGGCGGAACCAGAAATTTGGTTCAGGGGGACATGTTAACACTGATAAAATAATTTTTTTTCAAGCAGGTCGAAAATATAAGTGTAACAACAGTGCATTAGAATAATAAATAAAAAATGAATAAGAATAGAAAAAGAAAAAGAATGTTATTGCACATAAATTATGCTTGAGTGCAAGAAAAAATAAATTTTTAAAAAGAAAATGAAATAAAAAGAAAAAAATGTGTGAGAATTTTGAAGGAAAAAATAAGTTTTAATTGTAGAAAGAGAATGCAAAAGTTTTTTAAGATGACAAAAAGAAATTTGAAGTATAAGAAGGAAAATGAATAAAGAATTAAAGACATTTTTAGAAATAGATAATTTTATGGGAATAATTTATAAATTTTATGAGGGTGTTTTTATAAATATTTATAAATTATACGCATAAAATAAAATAAAGTTCAGTGGATTCGGGGGTAGAGGGGCTATTTTATTAATTTTAGGGGGGGCATTGTGTCAATTTTTATAAATTTATGTATAAAAAAATAAAAAATTATAATAGGGCAACATGGGCAGGGGGGCTGCCCCCCTGCCCATGCAGCTGCCCCCCCGGGCGCATGCTGCCTCTGCCCATGTATGTAGCCATAAGCTTAATATGCATGAACTCTTTCGCGCATCACGTCACGTGAACTAATACTATAATACTGCGTTTGGTGTGGAATAGAACTATTCTCTTATTTGGTATGCAATTTAAAGTAAGAATAATCATTCTATTGGAATAAAAATTCATTTTACAACTAAACATATAAAATGACCATTCTATTCCCAAGTAAATTTTTTTAAAAAACCAACTTCTCAAAAAATTATCATGTTTTAACCACTACCTTTCATCACAACCACCTTCGCCTTTCACCATCACCCCCATCGCCTTCCACCACTGTCCGCCACCGCCACCGCCTTTCACTACCGACAACGCATTCCTTTGCCGCAACAAGCGGTCCACCACCATCACTTTTTACCACCGCCATCGCCTTTAAGGCAATTTCCTCTAACCGCTGGGTTTCCGCCCCGCTCCACTCCTAATGGGTTTGGATTTGGTAGCTCCATAAATGAGTTTGGGAGGGATATGGTAAAAGAATTGAAAACCCGAAGCGGATTTGGGCGGGGATGGATTTAGTGATGTCCCCGCCCCACCCTGACCCCGATTATATATATATATATATATATATATTTAAGTTAAGTGTCCATTAATATATTTTGACTAAATATTCACTAGAATCACTACTTACTAGAATTCCACAATTGTGCACGTGATTTAATCTTCAAATCAATGATTCAAGATCTCGCTGGTGCCGAGAAAAGAGCGCCTAGCAAAGTCAATAACTCCTTTTGCAGCTTGTGTTTTCTCTTCTTTTTATCCCAAGTACAGGAATTAATTCAACAGTATCAACTTTACCGCAATTAAACGGAGTATGCGGGGCGGAGTCGATATTTTGTCTACCGGAGTAGGGGCGGGAATGGTATACTAATTATAAACCCGTCCCAAAGTTGGAGCGGAGTTGGTATAACGGATTTTTTAATAGGGTGGAGTAGGGTTTAGCCAAATCCACCCCAATTCCGCCCCGTTGCCATCCCTACCTTCCACTATCACCACTTCCTTTTACTATAGTCACCACCACCACTACCTTCCACCATCGCCACCACTTTTCACCACCACTGTCATCGTCGCCTTTCACCACTGTCATCGTCGCCTTTCACCACCACAACCTTCCACCATCACCATAGTCACCTCTATTAGCTTTCACCACCGTCACCTACGCCACTATCTCGTTCCACCACCACCACCACACTATTACCACAGCCTTCCACCACCACCACCGTCGCCTTCCACCATTGCCACTACCGCCGCCTTCCAACATCACCACTTACACCACCACTATTTATTTTAAAAAAATTATAAAATAATATCATTTTGTTAATTTAATTTATTTATTACCAAGAGGGATATTTTTGACAACTCAATCTGAAATTTATTCCATTCTAAATTTTAAATTGGTCCATCCAAACATTATAATGGTTATTATTATCTCATTCCTAATTATTTTATATTTACAACCAAACATTATATTTCATTTTATTCCTACACACCAAACACAAAGTAAGTAACTAATATGATGCGTAAATTTTTTTTTTTGACAAACTCATTGCTGTGCTTTAATATTCTCTAATCGAAAACAAGATTTAAGAACAAAGATAGTTGGTAAAATTCATTTCATCAGACCAATCAAGGATGTACAATGAGAACATTTTCTTAAAAAAGAAGAAGAGGAGGTAATATGTATGTTATTGAGTTGCTTTTTGAAAAAATAATTAATTATTGTCATTTTTATCTTAATCTCATATAATTAGAATTTTTCATTCTTTTGGATTACAAGACTTCTCTCCCGTACTAAGTATTATTTAATTAAATTTAATTATTATTATTTTTTTAATCTCCATACCTTTTATATAAGTTTCTTACTCAAAAATTTATAAATCTTCTTAAACACGACATGGACACCCCCTAAATCTACTTTCTCTTATTTATCTATTGGATTCCATGGTATAAATCCAAATTTGTTATTGGATAAGTGGATTTTTTCCTTGCACATTTATCTATCACCATTTTTCATAGTTCCGTTGTATGACACATTAATTGTAACAATTTTATATATCATATTTGCTTTTGTAGATAAATACCATATTACCATGGTACTCTTTCTCCTCTCATTTTTCACCGCTCCCTTTTCTAAAATTTTGTTAAATAAACTCGTTAGACATTTAATTCTTACTTCTCCATACTTGGGTATGTAATTTTTGTTTTATTATTTCTCGTATACTTTTAAATGTGTCTTATGAAATACTACTTCCTTACTGATGATTTTGTTTATCATCCCAATACAAATTTCGTTAATTTTTACTTCTTCTCTAGAAATTATTTATTATCGAAGTGTTTAAAGTAATTTTTTCATGAACTTTTTAATGAGTGTTAAATAGTTATTATACGCACACACTTCCTTGGGTCCAAAGAATAGTACTGGAATTGGACCCAAAAAAAAAAAGAAAAAAAGAAAAAAGTAAAAATATATTATTCTAAAAAAAAAAAAAAAAAATTCAATTTCTCGATGAAGGAGATACCAGCAATCTTGTAATGGTCACAATCTCGAGGGACGTTTTTGTGTTTTTGTATTTATTTTGGGAAGGTTTATAAGTCTGTCATTCTTGTTCGGCCTTTTCTCAGCTTGTCTTCAACCCGGGAGCTCAGGGGTCCATGCATAATTTCACTAAAATAAAATAGGCAATATTTATATTTATAAGCAAATTAACAAATTGCAGAATCGATAATTAGACTTTGAAGAGTGGGAGTGGGGGGTTCGAATTGCCTATAGCTCTCTATCCTGCCTTTGTAAAACCCTTTCTTCGCTTTTCTTCGCTTTTCTACATTTTTGAGAGAGAAAGAGAGAGAGAGAGAGAGAGAGAGAGAGAGAGAGTAACAAAATCGAAGGGGGCGACGTACGGCCCGGGCATTTTCAAGACCCAACGGAGCTCAATTTGAAACCCTAAGAACCCAAATCTTTGAAACGAGGTTGGTTTTTCTTGTTTTATTCGTCTATTTTTGTCGTTGAAGTTTGTACCATATGTCCATATAATTATCGTTTTCTGTTTGATTTTGATTGATGCATGATCGATTTGCTTTTGATAACTCTAGGGTTTCAGTTGGTGATCGTAGCTTATCTACCGAGGGAAAGATTTTGTTTATGGAATATTCATTCTAGAGTGTGTGTATAAGTGTTTTTTTATTTTCATTTTCGTTTCTGTTTTACTTTTTTTTGGTACAAGGACTTGAAATCTGGAGTGTTTGGACTGTGTGTGTCGAAATGTTGCTTCTAATTTAAGCACGTGTTTGATTGAGAACTGCGAGATTAGAGAAGGTCTCATTTATGTTCCCCTTGGTTTCTAAGCACTTAAAGATGTCTTTCCATAGTTTATTATGCGCTTTATGCTTAATTCTGTGTTTTGTCTGACTGGTTTGCCTTGCCTATATGAGGGCTTTTAAATGAAATTGGATTTTGGCTGCTGGGTGATGTTTGTTCAGTCTTTGTTCATGGGTACATGTCAAGAGTTGGAATCAATTGTGATGTAATTAAAGCTGGTGCAGAAAGTAATGGAGTATCCTTTAGTTAATCAAATAATTGGTTATCTATTAAGTGCTGAAATTTTGTTGACAACCTTGATATGTCTGTGTTTTGCAGTTGTGGCAAGCATTTCGTGTTTGAGTCCTATCATGATGCAGTTAATGTGCGCTCACAAACAATTTTCATGTTAAATTTAACTTCTTGACCTTGTCTTGCACCGAGATGGATGATTATTCAAGTTTTCTAGAAAATATAATGTTTGTGAGTTGAATTTACAGCATGCGGTCATTGCACAATTACTCGTACGACATGACTGTAATAGTCCATTATTATTTTCCTTTTAGAGAGAAAAATAAATGTGAGGTCGACCTGAGTTTCACCGAATCAGCCAAAGTCATTGATTTGGACTCGGTAATCACTAACATATTGAGATTGCACTCAGCACCTAACAAGTTCTGTTTGAAACTTGGCTCATAGTTAATATCTTGATATATTGTACTTCTCTATGAAGCATGGACACCGATCCGTTGCACGGGCATAACACGACAAGGGCAGAGTAACATGTCAACCCTTAAATTAGGATATGGGCACAACAAGGATTTATATTTTTACATATAAATTTATAGTTATCAACAAACATTTATGGCGTATCAATCTAATAATATACGAGTGTAAGTGCCTATGTAGAAGATGCATTATTATTATTATTATTATATTTTTAAATTCTCTGTTAAGTTCTTTATATGTGAAATGGAAAAGGCATGAGGTGGATGGTTGTAAGTTCAATATGTTTATCTTAAACCTCAAGTTTCTGGTATTATTACGTAGTAAATTATTTTCTATCAAATGAAGTGTCATAAGTTTTATATGCATGCCATTGTTACTAAATTTGACACTGGAAAGAAGGAGGACCTAAAAAGGTAAATGGGAAATGTGAATAGAGAAAATGTGTTGGAATCTATTTGAGCGGCTTGTTTCATTGCCTGAATACTTGTACTCCAGTCATACATTAGGACTATCTTGACTGGACTGAAAGAGAGTTGTTCTTAGTTTGGTAGGAAAGGGAGTTTGGTGTGTTGGGGGGGGGGGCGGGCGGGTGGGGGGGGGGGGGGGGGGTGAATTTTCTTTGTTTATTTGTGAGGAAAGGTGAATGGAGTGTAAAAGAAGGTAGTTTTTTTACAAATCGACTATTTCCCTTCTGTCCCTAAGTGGAAGGAGAGGAAGGAAAAAGAAACCTTTTCTTTTACATATTTCCCCTTAAACAACATCCTTGTGCAAATATGTAAGGTATGTTGTAAAATGAAGTGATACTCTTACCTTTTCTTTCAATTTCTTTTATACACAACCAAGTGTATGAGGAGATGGGGTCCCGTCCTACCTTCCCTTTCTCTAAATCTTCTGCCCACCCTGCTGATGGAGCTATTAGTATGATATGATCTGGAGATAAGATGGAGCCATTAGTATGATATGATCTGGAAAATAAAATGTATCTAAGTTGACGTGCCTTGAGGCATTGTAGATCTATATTACTAGCCAAATATACTATTTATGAAAGACTGTTATCGTTGTTTCATTTTTCTTGCTAAATAATAGGTTTTTTGGTGTCAGAAAACACATTCAAGACCTAAGGAAAATTTTCAGGAAGCATTAAAGAAGCGTATAAAAAGTAAATAAATAATAATGGTGCTGATGTTTTTGAAATATTGTTGAGATTACCTAACATACTTCAAAGTCAGGTCGCCTCACAAAAGAATCACTGACTGTCCAATAGTTAGACCATTTTCACATGGAAGAATTTCATTTCCACATAATTAGTATCTCTAATGATTTTGTTATGTCTTCTCTCTGCAAAAATATTGCTTCTACGACATTTAAGAAAGAGCTCCTGAATTTCCAATTTGGGTTTCTTTACAGTTCAGAATCATAAATTTCCACAATAAATTATTGAACTTACCAGTTACCATGATCCCCTGGGAATCTTTGTTAGAAAGGTTGAAGAATTTTATCAACACATTTCTTATGAACTTTTAAGGAAACTTTTAGGATCTAACTGGAAATGCTTCTTCTCCTTTAAATAGCCATATAACATTGATACTTACATGTATCTTTTTTATTTTTCATGTATATGTAAAAAATTAGATAAATAAATAAATAAAACAGGTAAAAAAGTGTTTATATATATATGTTCGAATACACAACTGATTATGAGCTAGATTTAGTGACGGAGCCAGGAATCTTGTTGAAAGGGGGGATAATAATAATAATAAAATGAAGATAATTTTTTCTAAACAAAATAATAAATATAAAAAATTATATTTTGATTGATAATATGCTCATTTATGACATTTACAATTGTTCTTGATGAATTTTTTATTAAGTTTTTCATACAAATTTGAAGAGAAATGCTATGTATATTTAAGTAACACAATTATGCAAAATTAAACAAATTCAAATGCATGATTTGTATTCTAATATATATCTCATTTACTCTTACAGTTCATACTATTAAATTTTTTCTAATAAGTCAATTAGTTAAGACTCAATAAATCTAGAAAGTCCTTGCTTGAAATAATTTTAAAATTAATTTATGAAACTTGTTTTTGTATTGAAAACTTGAACTATTTTCAGTTTTAGGTTCTCCAAATCAATAATTAAGTAAAGAGATATATAATAAATAAATAAATACAATGTACCTTCTTAAAGATTGTGATATTTCATTAAATCCCTATGCTCATCAAGGCTCAGCTAAAGCGCCTCAGCCTAGTATAGTTCAGGCCCCTTGAATCAGGCTCACCTAAATTCTTTAGGCTTAGGCTTTTTAGTAGGCTCCAGGCTCAAAAAAGGCGTGTCTTATATTTTTTAATCATTTATTCATATCAATTTATTTTTTATTTAATGAATAGTGAATTAAAATATCATATATCGTATTGTTTAACCTTATGAAATATTTGACAAAATTCATAAATTTATGATTCACTACTTATATTAATTGCAATTAATGCTTGATTCCGAATATATTAATTGCAATTAATGCTTGATTCTGAATATATGTAATAATAAATGTTTAAATATGCATTATTATTACACATGCGCCTTACTTTGATTAAGCTCGCGTCTTACGCTTAGGCTCTAGAAGCCTTTTGGCTCTTTAGTGCGCCTTTAGCCTTTAACAACTATGAGGCTAAAAACTAGACATATGGGACAAATGTAGAATTTATAAAATTCTATATTAAAAAAAAAGTATAAAATATTTGAAGTGGGTGGTTTTAAAAATTTAAAATCTATATGTTTTTTTTTTTTTTTTTATCATTATTTTTTTTATAAGTAATAATAGAATAAAAGGCGTTCAAAAGGGGAATGTGTCCCTTATACAAAAGTGGAACGGGGATCTAAGGCCCCGAAGAATCCAAAAAAATGATTAAATCATCGGAGGAGGAGCAAGAACTCCTCTGCACATAACTAAAAAGAGAGCGAATAATATGAAGTTTTAGCGTCACCGTGGATGACTCTTTCCCTTCCAACATTCTGCTATTCCTCTCCTTCCAAATGCACCACCACACGCATTGAAGAACTGTCCTCCAGTAGTCGCGTACATTACTTCTCACACAACATCGCCTCCATGCATGAATCAGATGCTTAGAAGATCGGGGCATTACCCAAAGCATGCCAAACAAACCAAGTATAAGATTCTAGCAGTCGTACGCCACGGGGCAATGCAGGAGGATATGATCAACTGACTCACTATCTCGTTTGCACAGGCAACACCAATTGACAATCGTCAGGATCTTACCCCAAACAACAGTCCATACAAAAAATGCCACTCTAGTTGGAGCCATAGAACGCCATATGGTCTTCCATAGAAAATCAAGGCTATCAAAGTTGGATAGGCACAAGAACAAGGATTGTACTTCAAATCAACCATGGGAAGAGTGGATCCACATAAGATCATCACTACCTTTGCCAACTGCCTCCTGCCGATACAACAGATCCAAAAGAACACATACCTCGTCCATCTCCCACTTCTGAAAAGAACGCTGAAAGTGTACGTCCCACGTAATCCCACTATTATCAAGCTGATAATAGTCAGCTACGCAGGCATGTCTATCAATTGCAATACTGTATAATTTGGGAAAGGTACAAGATAATGGCTTGTCACCGCACCATAGATCCTCCCAAAATTGAACACATCTGCTATCATGAACTTTGAATCTGACGTGGGAAGAGAAAACATTCCAACCCTTCCGAATGGATTTCCACACACCAACTCCTCCCACAATAGAAAACCGGACGAGTAGACCAACCGTCACTCTCCTCCCCAGAACGACATGAAACAAGCCTACAAGCCTTTGCCAAGGGCGACGCCTTTCTCTCCCGAATCTCTATAACCATTTACCCAAGAGAGCTTGATTAAAGGGAACCAACCTCCTGATACGCAGACCACCCAGCTTCATGGGCTTGCAAACTTGCTCCCATTTGACAAAGTGATACTTAAACTCTTCGCCCCTTCCGCCCCAAAAGAAATCCCTTTGGATCTTTTCGATCCGTTCGGCAACAGAGCATGGAATTTGGAACATAAATAAAAAATAAGTAGGAAGGCTCGATAAAGTGCTCTTTATAAGAGTAACTTCCACCCCCCCCCCCCCGGGACATATATTGCTTCTGCCATCCTGTCAATCTCTTCACATACCTGTCAATCATAGGATCCTAACTCCCCACTCTCCTAGAGGAAACCCCTAGGGGCAAACCCAAGTAAGGAATGGGAAAAGAATTCACCTTACACCCAAGGACTGCGGCTAAGGAGGAGAAATCCTGAACATCTCCAACCGGGACAAGCACGCTCTTAGCCACATTGACCTTCAGCCCAGAAACTGTCTGAAAACAAGCTAGAATGCACCTCAAGTATCTAAGTTGAAACACATCAGCATCACAAAAAACCAGGGTATCATTCGCAAATAGTAAATGAGAGATCTCCAACTGATGGACTAAATCTCTGCCCCACCCTAAAGCCCTTGATAAGACCGAGATCCTCTGCCCTCCTCATAAGTTTGCTTAAACCCTCCATTACAATGAGAAAAAGGAAAGATGACAAGGGATCTCCTTGTCTTAAACCTCGTGAACACCTAAAGAAACCAGCAGGAGACTCATTCACAAGAACAGAGAACTTTACAGATGAAATACATGTCTCTATCCATTTCCTCTATCTGCTTCCAAACCCCATTCTTTGAAGTAAGTACAACAGGAAATTCCAATTCATATGATCATGAGCTTTTTCAATGTCAAGTTTGCATAAAACTCTGGGGAGACCACTTCGCAATCTGGAATCCACACATTCGCTTGCAATGAGAACCGAATCTAGTATTTGCCGTCCTCTGACGAAAGCATTCTGGGAGGACGAAATAATCCCATCCATAACATCCCTTGTAAATGCAGCCCACTAGGCTAATTGGTCTAAAATCTTTAATATCAGAAGCACCGCTCTTCTTAGGGATAAGGGCAATGAATGAGGCATTTAACGACTTCTCAAAGACGCCAGTAGAATGAAACTCTTGAAATGTACCCATCACCTCGTTTCTCACCACCGCCCAACTTTCCATCAGAAACCGCATAGTAAACCCATCAGGCCCAAAGCTTTGTCCCCATTGCAACTTGATAAAGCCTTCAGAACTTCCTCTTCAGAAAAAGGAATCTCAAGCCCATCTCTATCCAACTCAGAAATAGCCTCAAAATGGAGGCTATCAAGCCTGGGTCTCCAAGCTAACGGCTCGGTGTAAAGCTTCTGATAAAAAGAAACGATCCCATTACGCACCTCGTCCTCCCTCCATAACTCCATACCATCCACCCGAATTCGACCTATCTGATTACTCCTTCTGTGGGCATTAGCAAGTTTGTGAAATTTTTTTGTGTTGCGATCTCCCTCTTTTAGCCATAGAGCCCGAGATTTTTGTCACCACGAAATCTCCTCCATACTAGCAATCTCAGCAAGAACTGCCTGACAGGAGGCTCTCCTAGAACGTAGAGACTCCACATCACCCGCCTCTTCAAGACTATCAATTTCAGAAAAATCAGTAAGGACTTTATTCTTCCTCCATTCAAGAGTCTCGAATACATCCTTATTCCACTTCTTAAGCTCGAGTTTGGGAGCCTTTAACTTCCTGGCTAACGTAAAATTGGACGAACCTGTAACTGTTGCTTCCTCCCACCAAGATCGAACTTTCCCCTGGAAGTCTTCCGCTCTCAGCCACATATTCTCAAATCAAAACGGGAAACATCGAGATCCCAAACCCCCACAATCCAAAACCAGAGGAACATGATCATGACCCTTGCTAAAACTGCCTGAACAGCATCTGGGAATTTCTCTTCCCACTTCCCAGAGATCAAAACCTATCCAGCCTTGATAAAGTAATTGGGTCCCTGCCATTGGACCACGTATAGGCTGCACCTTCCATTGGTAAATCAATGAGAAAATGCTCATCAATAAAGTCAGAAAACTGAACGATATTTGAAGACCACCTTCCCTTTGTAGGCCTTTCTAGCGGGGATCTAACAGAATTGAAATCCCCACCCAGGCACCAAGGAAGAGACCACAGTCCCTAAACATGGCAAAGCTCCTCCCAAAAAAGAGGTTGATCATTATCAACAACCGGTCCATAGACCCTAGAGAAAATCCATCTGAAATTGTCCTCCTCCATCTTAAACACACAGGATACAGAGATCCTCCCCATCCACACGTCCATCCGAGACAACCATCTGCAATCCCACATAACTAAAATTCCTCTAGAAGTACCTGAAGCATTCAAGGCCTCCCATTCCAGAAACCTTCCTCCCCAAAGACTCCTAACAACCCCATCAGAAACGGATGCCAACTTAGTTTCTTGCAGACAAACAACCTGGGCTCCCCACTTCCTTAAAGCTACCTTTATTACCCTCCTTTTGTCCGGATCGTTGAGATCACAAACATTCCAAGTAATGATTCGTAGATTAAATCTATATGTACGAAAATCAAATATAAAATGAGAGGCGATTAGGTCATATCCAAAAATATCAGTGGAGGCAGATTTATATGTTGGAATTTTTATTTATTTATTTTTCATAATTTTAGTGGGGGCACTTTTAAAATTTTACAAAAATTATGGGGATATAATACAATTTTAAAAAAATAAAAATCAGTGGGAGTGCTGCGTAGCTTCGTGCCTGGCTAGAATCGCTAGATTATAAATTTACACAAAATATTCTCAAAGAAGTTGTAACATTTACATTTATGAATCACCTATGTGGCTGAACTCTATTTGAATCTTCAGATGATTGTGCTGATATGATTAAATACGAGAGAACTAACTTGTAGATTTTTTTACTTGTCTCCCTTTACACCTCAACTTGACTTGGTGTTATAACTGCTTGTAAAAAAGACTTGTATTTTTTTATTTTTTATAATTTGATTTGGAGAGGCCAATAAAGAACATTAACCATGTTCAATAAAATTAGAAATGTGGAGAAAAGCATTAAAATCAAAACGTCTAAAAATTAGTATGCTAAAATTGAATATACGGAATGTAACTTTGGTAAAGACTCAAATGTTGATAATATAATGAGTGCACTTCAAATCCAAAGCAACCTTTTTCTTTATATCTATCTAGGATCAATTATACAAATGGATGGCAAGATACCTAGTGATAGTATTAGTAGAATTGAAGAAAGGTTGACGAAATGGAGACAGAGTAGTGGTGTTTTATGCAATAAAAGAATAAGAAATAAATTAATTGGGGAATTTTCTGAATTGTATATTAGGCCAACTATTTTATATGGTGCAGACCGTTAAGCTCTGAAGGGAAAACAGGAACTACAAAGTCATGTAGCAAATTGATGATGTTAAGATGTATGATAGGAGTGATTTTTTTTTTTCTTAGTTGGTACTCACACACACATCTCTTCTAAGAGTTGAACCTCTGACCTTCCTTTGAGAAGTAAGAGGCCGATATCGTTAGGCCACTGACCCGTTGATGATAGGAGTGATTAGAAGATTAAGAGTTACTATTAGATTAGAAGTGGCACCTATTAGTGATAAAATAAGGGAAAGTAGATTTAGGTGGTATGGACATATGCAAAGAAGACTATAGAGGCACCAGTAAGAAGATGAACCTAATTCACTTAGAAGGTGGGAGACAGAGAGGATGGCCGAACTTAACGTGGGATGGAATTAGTAGAAATGATTTAAAAAATTAAATCTTATAGGAGTGGTTGCTTGTAATAGAAAAGATTGAAAAAGGATAATCCATGCGGACGACCCCATTCTTATGGGATTAAAGTAAGGATGATGATGATGAACAATGTGCAAGCTGTAGATAGGAAGACTGCAAGGTACACAGAACTACAAATCACCTGAAGAGCTGCATGCAAATTTAATTAAAATCTAGTCCAGTATATTTTAATTTGTATGGGCTGCCTGTTCACTTTTGTGGCCCACATTTCTTACATCTGCAAGCCTGGAGATCCAAGTTGTGCTATGCAGCTCCTTTTGGGTATGAACTCCTAAATCTGTTTCTTAAAGCAATTTGCCAAGACTTGTTTCAACCCTTGGCCTTAGGTTAGAACTTCACTTGTCTTCTAAATCTTCGTTTGCTAATTGAAAATTATGCCTTATATTATTTTGTTCCTAATGTTTCTTGGTGTTATCTGAGCAGAGTTGGTAATGAGATATATTGCAATTGAAATACATTAAAACCTTCATTATACAGTCAATGAAATATCACATGTTCTGATCGAATTCAAACTTTTAAGGAAATACTTGAGGTGGCTCTGCCCAATTCCGCTTATATTACTAGTCCCTACGCTCACACCGCACTGGGGTCACTCTTTTTCTCTCTTTCTTTCTTTCTCTTTTCCACCCTTTAAATATGGAGGCAGCAAAAGAAAGTGAAAGAAAATCTTTTCACGCTTTCTGTTTTAAATATTAATAATTAGCTTTTTAATAATTTTGTAAAAGATTTTGCAATATATGATAATTACAAATTGAACCGCAAAAAAAAGAAAAAGATGAAATTGATGTTTCGATTTGATTTGCCTTGAAAACTGTGAAGGTAGTTAAATTTTCCACATCTGTATTGTACCTGTTAATATACTCGTATTTGTATCTTCAGATGTGATAGATGATCTGTTTTCTTTACATTGTAATATTGTCACGTAAGGTATTGACAACTGTACAGAAGCCCAACAATCGCAAACGCCTTTTTGTTTTTTTGGGGAAGTTGCACAATATCTGATGAGGTTTTTTTATTTTTATTTTTTTACCACAGAGACTTGTCTTAATGAATTTAAAGTACATTGACCTTCCTGCTGATCAATTGATGGTGTCATAAATCTCCATTTACTGTTTCAGGGAATAAAAAATGCAATTATGATTCCCCCCCCCCCCCCCCCCCCCTTATTAACTTGTCAGATAAGCATAATGTGTCTCTTTACAGTAAACCTTGTTTTGTCTTAATTGAAGGACAAGTTAAGGGTATAATAATGTTTCTGCCTACTCAGCAAGTCAAACAAGGATAAAAATTTCCTTTCCAAGAGGATTTTAGTGTAGGAAAAATAGAAGCATTACAGGAAATCTCAAGTGGTAAATTAAGTATTTAGTCGAATTAAATGTAATCTACCCCTATCTTTCATTTCCGAACGAACCAGATTCACTACAGGTAGTAAGATCAAAATTGAATTCTTCTGCTCAGTTCATACACTTGTTTACATGTGATGACTGTGTATAGATTTTGCTTTCTCTAGGCCTTGAAATCTTTGAGTTGGATGGTTGCATAAGTCAATGGTTTTTACTTGCTCAATGACCTTAACATCTATTTCTTCTATTGCTATTTTCCTTGTGGCATTTGTTAGTGTTACGTGATTTAATAAAAAATCATTTCTTTTTTGTTGTTTCTCTTTACTTAACCCTTTCCCTTTACAGGTATGCCTGTAATTGCTGAAGTGTTTCTGGGCAATAAGTGCTCTGATCTTCTCATTTACTAGGGATTCGGATCTTTATATACCATAAACAAGCTGAGTATTAAATTTCTTCTGATAAGATTCAATGGAACTAGAAGTTTCATCACCAAAGGCAGGAGTACTTTTGCCTTCTGACTGTGTCAGTGATCCTGAGGAGAAAGAAATTAGCGATGATGATGATGATGATCGTAATCATAAGCATCGTAGGTGGGAGACACGGTCTCAATCTTTAGAGAGAGATGCCCTGGATCAAGTTTTAACAAGGCCGTACAGAAAGCGAAACAGACCCTTCGAAAACAGGCACCCTTACAGGGAAAATGATTCTCTGGAGAAAGATCTTTCTGCAAAGTTTGACAAAAGACGCCCTGGCTTAGCTATATATTCCCGAGCTCCTTTGGATTTGAATCAAAGAATTGGGGTTAACCAATCATCATCTACCGAGACCGGTCCTGGTAGGGGTAGAGGAAGGGAATTTGGTTCGTGGAGCCATCTTGATTCTAGGTTCAGCTCAGTTGAGATTGCTACTCAAATGGTTCAACAGAGATCTGTTCCTCCAAGTCTGTTTGCGGGAAGGGGATTACCAAATGTTTCACATGCGCCGAATGCATCCTGGAGTGCATTTGGATTGACTTCAGGAATACCAAATGGTGGTTTAGATACACTCCATTCTCTTGGTTTGCAAGGAACGCTCAGACCACCAATAAATGCTTCATTGAATATGGGAATTGCACGCCAACGATGTAGAGACTTTGAGGAGCGTGGCTTTTGCCTAAGAGGAGACATGTGTCCAATGGAGCATGGTGTCAATCGAATAGTTGTAGAAGATGTTCAGGTATGTGATGTTGTGTTTGCTTTTACCCTTATTTATTCAAAACCATTGAAGCATGAATACAAACACGGGATACTGATATGCTGATACAACATATTTTAGTAAAGTAAGATTCAGATTTGGCAAGAATATGACAATGATGTTGTATATAATTATACTATCATATACTATAAACATTTCTGCATGATGAGCAAATTTATTTTTATGAAATGTATAACTTATGAATCACAACAATAATTAATGATCTCGTTTCATGAATAAATACACTGCAAGGGCACGTATTATGTGTATGCATTTATAGATATTATATGCAAACGCAAAGACATTATTATGAAGATTTTTCTCTTCCTTCCACGCCTACCCATTTGATAAAATTTTCTTCTTTTGTTTCTAAAACATGGTCAAACTTCTTATAAATTCTAATACAACTTCAATTTGATTGTTATAAATTTCTCATATTTTCTTCAATACTAATAAAATGTCATACCTGTTGTCCAAGATTCACTGATCATATCAAGTTTCCCAGACTTATTGACCACATGTCCAAAGTTAAGAATTTCATATTTAAAATTAAAGATCCACGGCACATCAAAGATGTATCGGGCATGTGTCATTCATCTAGTGTCAATACCCAAAACATGTGTATTCTACACAAAAGGGTTCCTTGGAAATGTCCATACTTCATAAAATGAAATTCTCATATCCTTGTTGAAAAATGCTTGGAAAGATGCATGTTTTACATGCCTATTATGTATCGAGAATAGGAATGCATTTTAAGATGGATTTAAGATGTTCTTATAGCATGAAATTGGAAAAAATGCTCCAATTTCTCTAAAACTGGGGGTTGGAACTGGTCCAAACTATACTGTTGAGTTAGAACCAACAACTTATTGGGTTTAGGGGTTTCTATCTTCTGAAATGGATAGTTATATTACCTTAACACCTGCATTGTCTTTGATAGTTGAATGTCATTCAATGAAAAAAAACAGTTGAATGTTAAAAACATATACCAGAAGTCCAACAACATACAATTGATATTCATCATTGTTATATTGTCTTTCAAAGACCCATAACTGCTTGGTCATAGTGGACCTGAGAATATGTTACACATGCATCCGAAGCGGGGATGATGTCTTACTTCATTCTTGCACTTCATCTACTTTTAGTTGATTTAAATTTTATTCCAAATATACAAATGCATCAACATTTGTAACTTCTGCACACATCTGTATACAAAAAGTTAATGTGAAGATGTCATCAGCAAGTGTGGATGGCATCCACTGTCATTGCCATATTGTGATACCTTTTTGTTACGGAGTGTTGGTTGTCTCTTGTTGGGCAGACATGATATGTGTAGGTACAGATGGTATGTGCACTAAGTCTGTCCAATTGATGGGGCCTCCTTTGTAGATGTGGAGAACTGCATGTCTGTGTGTGTGCTCATGAGCTGAGAGTTATTAGAGGAGCCAGCCACCAAATGACTGAAGCTACCTTATATTTCCAAGTGTAGTGGATGGTTGTAATTACCTGGTGTAGGTACCTAGCCTACCACTTCTGGGTTTTGGCATGGCAATGTGGCGACCCCCGACCACGCATTGATGACTCATTGGCCATGCCAACCATGACGTGGTTTGATCCATCGTGATGCTGTACGGGCACTTTGAGCATACGCTTGAGACCATCTATGATCAACATATAACACTTTTGCATACATACATGCATAATGTCTCTCTTGGATTTTCTAAAAATTGTTCGCGATGATCGAAGAAGACTCTAGAAGCTCCAAAGGGGATCCCCTTGCCCTCTCTGGAGGAAGCTTCTTCCCATCTAGGCCACTCATCCTCCTATGGGCCCATTGGGATTAGGTCACCTCTCATTCCATCAAACCTGATACCTATACCTGGCCACTCACTCGATGATCTTAAGTCATAGATGAATTGGTTCATACGTGGTTCATTTCTTATGATTCAATAATATTGCTTTTATAAATCACATCATCAACCGTTAAATAGATTTATCATGTTAGTATATTTTTGGTGCCTTAGCATCATACTGGGTTGTTTCCTTAGTTATGATTATTTATTTTGTCAAAGAAACTTTGTTACTTGAGCAAGTATTTAAACTGCTGTAACTGAGTCATTTTCCAAATTACAGAGCCTTTCACAGTTTAATCTCCCTGTTTCGCTTCCAAGTGCACATCTGTTGGGAACACCTGGATCTTTACCATCAGTTAGTGCTCCTTCAAGCTCATCAATGAATAGCAAAGGTTTACATAGCAAAATTAGCAAGCCTGGAACAGTGGACAATGGGTTGGGTTTGAATGGTGGTTTCACTGGTTATGTTAGTGCAGGTGGAGCTGATTTTTATGATCCTGATCAGCCCCTGTGGACAAATGATTGTCCGGAACCGTCAACTGTTCTCCATTCTTTAAATCCATCCAAGGTTGATGAAACTGAGTCTTCGTTGGATATTGACCCCTCTGACCATAATCATGTTGGATTATGTGATGGCTCTGATAATAAACGCCCAATTAGAAGTACTGCAACTGCTGCTGGACCTCAGAATACAAGTTTGTCGGTATGGGGAAGAATCGGTGGTTCGAAAAATAGAACAGAAATTATAGACAAAATTGATTCCACAATTAATTCCTCAAATAATGTTGAAAATGAAGCAAGGGAATATCAGGAGCCATTAACAAGTCCTCAAGGTGCTGCCCGTCAGGGGAAGCGGACAATTGCGGATGGCATTGGTTCACAAGCTATGGATTCCTCTCTGAAGACACAAGGTGATATCGCGCATAACATCCGAAAACCATCTCAAAAGGCCCTACGCACACTATTTGTCAATGGCATTCCTCATAAAAACAACAAAAGGGAGGCTCTTCTTTCACATTTTCAAAAATTTGGAGAGGTGATTGACATTTATATTCCATTGAATAGTGAACGGGCATTTGTTCAATTTTCTAAGAGAGAAGAGGCAGAGGCTGCTCTGAAGGCACCTGATGCTGTAATGGGTAATCGCTTTATCAAGCTATGGTGGGCTAATCGGGACAGTGTTCCAGATCACGGAATGAGTAGTGGCAATAATGTATCCATAACTCCCCGTGCTGTGAAAGTTGCTTCAGTTCCATCTTATCCTTTTGTTGCTAACAAAGAAAAAGATGGAGCCCCAGAAGCTACTGTTGCCCATGTTGTTATTCCTGCCTCTGATCAGCCTAAGCCATTGGTCACTAACAGCCCCAAAGCTCCACCTTCTTCACAAAAGAAGCTGGAGAGTTTAGAGCTTTTGAAGGAGGAACTCCGTAAGAAGCAGGAAATGCTTGATCAGAAACGGAATGACTTCCGGCGCCAATTGGATAAACTTGAGAAACAAGTAATACTTATTTTCAATGACTTTAAATTTTATTTCTATATACAAATTTTCTTTTCTTTAGTATTATAATTATCATTATTATTCTCAGTTTGGAACCTTGAGTTTCTCTAAGCTATGTTATGTGAGTGTTGTTGCATGTCTGGCTTGGAACACTTGGTTACACAAAACCGTATATGCACATTCATTTCTAGAATTACATAAAAAAAAATGCCATGCTGAACTAATGATACTAAGATTCTGAACCGAAAGAAGTTGGGATCTCATAGGAGATCACACTGGGGACATTTGAAATGTTGAATGGGAAAGGAGAGAAAAGACTATATTTGCTTGCATTTTTCCTTCAAGAACATGATATAGCAATCAAAATCTTGAAAGTCTTTTGGTTGGCTATCCTCAAGGTTTCACTTTCTGCAGACTACAGGTCTCAAAGGTGAAGTAGCATCTGAGCAGGCCACTAAAAGATTGAAAGTGGGAACAGTAGCTGATTTTTCAATAGCTGCAACACTGAAGTCCAATAATCCTGGTACTGTTTTGGCATCACCACAAGTTGAGGCGGAGGCAGATAATAAAAAATCTGCTGAGAATGTTGTGCACCACCATTCCAATTCAAAAGTGGCACTGCAGGAACCTTCGAGTTTGAAGCAGTCAGTTCGTCCTTTGGCACCGGCTGGTGCTCCCTTTATCATGAATAGATTCAAACTGGACAACCGCCCAACCGCTTTTAAAATTGTTCCACCTTTACCAACGGGTTTCGCAAATGTAAGCCTCTCCATCACTTCCATGATATATATATATATGGAACAGATTTGTGTTTGTGCATTACATGCACTGTCTTTCCTTCATTAGTGAAATAAGGTTAATCTGTCCACAACTGCTTCTCTTTGACAAAACCTTCTAAATGTTAAATTACACACTCTGGCTAGAAGCACCGAGTTCTCTTGATCAATATTCTAAAAGGTGTGAAGGCTTCAATTATTAGTACTTATTAGAACAATGTTCTTAAATTTATTCTATTATTGTATTATGTATGTCAATATCAATTTTTGTTACTTGATGGGAGGCAATGGCATCAAATTTGTGCTCTTTGATTTTGATTTTTAGGTCCTCTCTCTCTCTGGTTGACAAATTTGTGGACATCTTTACATCCCATCATTTGGAAAAGCAAATATGAATGTTAACAGATCCAAGAAAATGTTTGCTCTAAATTGTGTCAGCTCGCTATATGTAATAGATATAAATATGGGATTTTTTTTTTTTTTACTTTAGATAAAGATGCTAAAAGAGTTTCCATGACCTTAGTAAACATCCTTTAGCTGATATCTAGGCATGAGGCATTTACCTCTATTCTGTGTGACACTACAAAGTGTCACCCCACTTTGTACACTATGATGTGCACTCGATTGCCAGCTAAAACAATTTGACTCTCATAACGAACCTATTTCTTTGGATGGAGTAAATTTTATGCATTCATGAGATTGTTTTCCTTGTATTCTTTATTTCAGTAAATGATAAAACTATTGTCTTATGTTCCTTAGGTTACTGTTTTGAGGGAGCACTTCTCAATATATGGTGATCTTTCTACCATTGAGCTAGAAGATTTAGAATCTGATGACTCGGAGACCAAAAATGGCTCAGCTCATATATCTTTCATAACACGTCGTTCAGCTGAGCAGGCGTTTGTGAATGGCAAATGCTGGCAAGGCCACAATTTGCAGTTTACGTGGCTGATGCCTAATAAATCTAGCAATGACAATGGTAGCCGAGAAAACCCCCCAGCTGCTTATAAGGGGCTGTCAGAGACCAACATGCAGCCTGCAAGTGAAGTTGCATCCACTGTTTCCCAGGAATCAGCTGACCCTCCATCTGCTTCTAAGGGGCCTTTAGATGCTGACATGCAGCCTGCAGAAGTAGTTTTATCTACTGTTTCCCATGAAGCAGGTGACCCACCTGCTTCTAAGGGGCCTTCTGATACTCACATGCAGCTTGCAGGAGAAGTTTCATCCATTGTTTCTCAGGAAGTAGCTGTTTCAGGAAATGGATCTTCTGAAAATATGGAAGGAAGAGAATGGGGTGGCCCTGGTGGGGAACATATGGAATGGGAGGAAGATTTCCAGTCCAGTTCATCTGCAATGTCATCTGAGAAACAGTCACCACCCAAAGGCAATGTTTGTTGAGGATGGCCTAGTTGTCAGATTTGTGCAGCGAGGTAACTTGTTAACCTATTTTAATATAGTTTCAGGTGTCTTAGCATTTACTGGTTCTGGATTCCAATTGTTTGTTATCTCATGTTTGGCTTATGTGAAGAAGGAAATTTCCTGACTTTCAACTTCCAGCCGTGCATAATGGTTGGTTAGTTGTCATGAATTATTTTGTTTATCAAATGCTTAGTTCTCTAGAACTGAGAGTTAAATTTGATAATTTTTATTCAAATGAATTGGAAGATCACATGAGAATGTCTGGTGGACTCTCATCCTTTTCAAGATTATTTTGTTGTGTATTTACTTGCCTAAGTATGGCCTTGTTGTATCAAAGAATACCTGTCTAGAACTGAGGGTTAAAGTTGAAATTTTTTATTCAAGTGAATTGGAAGATCACGAGAATATCTGGTTGTCTCTCTTCCTTTTCATGATTCTTGTTCACTTTGGATGTGAAGACATATTATTTTGTTGTGTATTTACTTGCCTAAGTATGGCCTTGTTATAGCAAAGAATACCTACAACTTGCTGGATGTCAATTGTAATACTCATCTGGCATTTAAGAGGATGTTTGGAAAACCCCTGAACCTGTCCAGTAAGGATATGATGAAATAGTTTGAACCTTGAATTTTTACTGTTTGATAATTTCAAAATTGTTCTACGGAAGTTCATCTCTTGGTGGAAAACATGGTACTTTTGCAGCTTCTCATGTCAAAGTTGAGCCAGATAGCACATGGAACATGTGCCTGGCCTTGTTCGACTCCAGAAATTTTTCTAACAGCCCTGTGAGTTCCAAGGGTACCTCTTTTTTTTGTCATTTTTAATTATTAGGGCAATAAATCTTTGTGGGGGGTAATGCCATTGACTTTTATAGAACTGCTATATCATTTTGGATTTTGTCGCTTGGCTTACAAATTGCTTTTCTAGGTTTGAACAATTCATTATTAGTTGTGTGTAGGATGATAGTTACCTAGGATTACTTGACTAATTCCTTCAGTTTTCTTTATATTTTTCTCTAACTGGCAATATGGGCTTTGATTGTTGTTAGGGAACCTCTAACAGTGATTGTAATATGTGTCGATGCTAGTTCATTTTGAGGATCGTTTTTTAGATTCCGAGTAGGCACTTTTTTCCCCTTTACATTTCTTATGACAAAAATATGCATATAGGAAAATTACAAATGGCCTCACCCCTTATGTAAGAGGTTCTCTATTTATGTGGAAGAATGATTTAAGATTTTGATTTACGATGCGGTGAATCCTGGACTAAGTGGGAAGGTGGATTATAGCCTTATAGGTTTTGGGGCCCGGGTTGTCTCCTGTTACTTCTGTGTTTTCTTAGTTCAAGGATTTTATCTTTGTGGTCCATATTTTTAAGTTTGCATTGCTTCTGACAGATAACCGAACACTTGAAAGGGAGATGTTAGGCCTATTATCTGTTTTATGTTTCTAACCTATTTGGCACTTACTCTTTAGGCATGATCTGTCAGTGAAGTAGTTGTATATATCCAACATATTCATGACTGAATGGAAGGAAATGGAAGTGTGATAGGAACTTTGTGGTTATATATATTCATAAAAAATTATCAAATTATTCCGTGACTGAACAGCAAAGTGCTTCATTGTCCAACATTGTACTCCGTGGCACTTTAGATTTTCACACCCGCGTACATGAGCTCTTTTCCTGCTTTGGGATAAGTGGAATTTGATATTTTATTAACATGTAGCTGTGATATATATATATATATATATATATATATATATATATATATATATTATTTTTAATTTTTAATTTTTTTCCGAGCTAATTTACTGCTAGTTTTGCATATGGGATATACTTAATTCTTTGTAAGAATAGTAAAATGAACCTTGGGTGACTCCTAACTAAATCAACTTTTCAAATTTTCAGGTGTACATCACTACTTTCAGAAACTGAGAAACGTCTGTCTGAATTTTCTAGCTACTCTTTCTGGATTCGTGCTTAAATCAGGATAATTCTTATATAATTCAAAATAGTTGAAGAACTTAACAACAATTTTGACATTGGAATTCCAATGCAAAAGGTTCAGGTTTTCATGGTTGAAGGAGCTTATCCAGGAAAGCAAATTCATTGCTTCAAGAAGGTTCATTGCCTTAACTTCTCTCTTGCTTATAAAGAATAGGTTTCCTGCTGTAAATTTCTTTAGTTAGAGTCATGAAGTTGTCAACATGTAGTAGATTTTGCTTCTGGTTATTTCTAATTGGGTTGTCTGAAGCATTCTTTTGTTGAGAAGGATATGAAAATGTTTCTTGAGAAGAATATGTAAAAAGAACCGTCTTGCAATTGTGTCCTAGAGTTTACTAAAAGTCATATAGATTAGCAGCATGCTACTTTTTGATTTGTTACATGTTTTTTTTCATATGACAAGATCCATTCAACAGCAGAAAGTAGGAAAAGATGGGGCTGCTGATTGTAATATTGCATTGCATCTGCTGGTCCAGGCCCAATGTATTCCAATTTTTGTTTTTGAGCTATTTACTGGCATTCAAAAAGTGTAAGGGGCATTTTTTAGCAACTTGGTGTGACATTTTTCCGCAGCCTGTATAAAAATGTATGTTTTTAACCTTTCTTCTATAATTTTCCACCAATCAAATGGTTTGGAAAGAGGTGATGTGGACATCAGTTGAAGCTGAATTATTGTTTGAATTCATACCTTTTATACTAGTCTATTGAATTATTGACGTTCCTGGCTTTTAGATTAATCTATTTGTTTCGCTCCCACATCTTTCACTTGCCTCTTATATATATATATATATATATATATATATATATATATTTTTTTTTTTTTTTTTCACACAAATTTTCGGAGACTTACCCTCGGCTAATACGAGGTAAAAATTTTGTTAGAATAGGATTGTAATTTTCTGTCCCACCTCGGGGCTTATTTGTATGGATTTTTTGTATGCCTCATCGTGAATCTGAGGTTTTGGGACGACGGTTGCCATTTAGTCCAAGGATGACTGGCTAAGTCGGCTGGCCTGTTGCCGGCCACTTGTTTTCTTAATTTGGGGAAATTATTAGTTACAACGAAACGTCATTGGTACAACCAATCAATACAAACACTCTAATAAAGCAAAGAGGTTGGTTTTTAAACCAAGAAGAATGGCAAAATCGGGGTTTTCTGCACGTGTTCATCTTTCTCTGAAATTGGTGCTATTTTTGCTTTTGCTTTCGGGCTTGGTAATGTCGAAGACAACTTCTTTCTATAAGCAATTCTAAGGCTTGAGAAATTAGAATTGAGTATGAAACTCCCATGTACAACAATCTACAACGAGCAATCATTCAAAAACTTAGGCCAATCTCCGTTCATGACGGGATCTGAAAAACTTCTTCGGACAGTAATCTCTGTTCTTAACTGGATCAGAAAAACCTCTTCTGACAGTAACAAGGCATTCAAGCTATAAGTTATATTGGTTGGTTATACAATGTTGTAAATTATTAGTTGCATCTGTTGTAACTAATAATTTTTCCTTAATTTGGACCCATTTGATGGCCGAAGAGGATGCGCAATACAGCATTCGAGTGATGTGTTTACTATGGCTGCTGTTGTGATCCGAGATCAATTGTGTTTTCAACAGATTTTATCATTTACTCTATTTTATTAACATGTGAAATGTTATTTAACCAAAAAAAAAAACATGTGAAATGTTAAACGAAAAATTCAATTGAAATATTATGCTTTGTATAAAATAATTTTATGGGAAAAATAAATGTCATGAGAGGAGTCAATTTCTTTGATCCACTCGGTTGGTGCATGCTAAATTTTTGATGTGAATTGTGAAAAGATTTTTCAGTCTCCCCTGTTTCCATCATAATTTTATGTCTTAAGACATCCTCAAATCTGATTTTCTATTGACAACATTTGATTAAAATGACAATTGAATGCATAATCGGTTCATACAAATTCATAGTCGGTTTATAGAATAAACTGGGTATAAATAAATATTTCTTTTAAAGACAAAATAATAAAATATCTCCGCGTGGATTACACATATTTTGCTAAAATAGCATAACATGTGCACTCATATAGGAATAAGCCCAATTCAACTAACAAAATTTGGACTAATGCTTGATAGGGGCCGCCGCAGGCCCCCACTACCACATAATCATTCCCTTGGTCGTTGTTGCATCTCTGCCAAAATATTGAAGCTCATCAACTCCAACAGAAGCTTCACCTTTTTTGTCAACCAATTTAATCACAAAGAACACCCACTATATCAACCAACTTCGGATCATATCAATATGAAGCAATTAAATTAAAAGTTTGGTTTTGTTTTTAATCTTCTAAGATGTTGAAAGAGAGAAAAATATCAACCCATACTACTCCATTCCAGCCTTTTAACAATGTAAGAATTTCCTACATGAACCATACCCAAAAACACAAGAAATCTAAGCAGGCTCTTCAAACGGAGTTCTAAATTACAACTCAGATTTTTATTCATCTGTGCAACACTATTGTAAAAAAAAACTGGAATCTTTATTCTCCTATGAATCCTCTTGAATCTAGATTCCAAATTCCATTTGACTTAGTCTTATGGCATCATCCTCACTAATCGCAAACGGTTCTTTTTAAAACACATCAATGTAGTAAATCAGGCACTTTCCAATAGAAGCACCTATGAGCAATAACAATTGCTTTTAACTATCGCACCTGAACTCTGACAGGTAGGATCAGAAGCTTCCTTGTCCAGCTACTGCAGCAGCACTGGTTTCAAGCTCCAAATAGATCAATGGCAGCCAGGGAAGACGCTAAATGAAAGCTGGAGCCCTTTCATATGGTTCCATACCCATCAACCACCGGAGTAATTAGAGGTACCCACCATTGCTCCGAAGAAGCCAACTTATCCTCAATAACCATGATGGAATACATAAGGCAGCTAGCACTGACATTAGTTGGGTTCCTCTTTAGAAATTCTCCACCATTGCTTCCTATAATATATTATGCTTTTCTTCCCTAAGCCCTTAGCATATCCTCAGCAATAAACTAGGGGCACTCCGAAACCATAACAGACTTATTATGCCGCAGGAACGAGATAAATCCTCTGGATAACCACACTAGGGAACATCAAGCATTCTCCGCCAAACATATTGTTTACTCTCTTCATTTCCCATAATGCATGTTTTCCCTGTTCTCATTGCTTTAAATATTCCATCAACCATATACTTAAATGTCAGGCTATTTGGCGTAAATCCCAGTTTCAGCATCCTATCCTGAAGCTCCATCAACTTAGAAACATCACCTTTCTCAAAGAAAATCCCAACAAGTGCATTAAAACATTCTGTGTCGTATATTTGAAATTTCTCAGCATAGAAGCTTAATAGAGATTCTGCTTTATCAAGATTTCTTTCTTTGCAGAATCCATTTATCAAAGCTCTGCAAATTAAAATATCTGGTTGAATACCAGATTCAACCATTTCTGTCAACAAGGATTCACCCTCCACACTTCTTTTTAATCTACACAGGCAGATTATAAGGGTTCTGTATGTAACTAAATTGGGTGTCATATCCTTGTAAACCATCTCAGATTTCAAGAGTAATGCATCCTCTGGATAATCACATTTGCATAAAGAATCAATCAATTCATTGTAGATTTCCACATTAGGCTCATGCCCATCTTGATACATTCTTTCCAGAAGACTTTTTGCTGCAAATGGCCGACACTCCTGAGACAAAGCAACAATTAGGAAATCATATATATCTCGAGTGATAGAAACTCCAAATCTCTGAAGCTCCACAACCATTTTTAAAGCTGAAAGCAACCTACCCTCCTTTCTGTATCCTTCTACAAGTATCCGACAAGTGTAATTGTCAGGGCAAACCCCATTTCCAATCATACCATGCAATAAAGACCTCGATTGTTGCATCATTCCTTCCTTACAATAACTGCAGATAAGAGTATTGTACGACACAATGTCTGGACTCAACCCTCTATGAGCCATCTGATGGAAGATGTGATGAGCCTCTCTCACCTTCCCTTCCCTACAGAGGCCATTCATCAAGGCAGTATAAGTAACCAAATCTGGCATCACACCCCTTCTATACATAATCTTGTACAAATAAAACGCATCTTTCAGCCTTCCTTTCTTACAATAGCTGTCAATCAATGTATTATAAGTCACAACATCGGGATCAAAGCCTTCATCTTCCATCTCGTACATAAACTTATTCACCCTTTCCACATCTCCATACTTGCATAAAACGTGAATCAATATATTGAATGTGTATGAGTTTGGGTGGATGCCAATTCGTCCCATCTCTTCATAGATTTCCCAACACTGATCAAGACAATTTAACTTTAAAAGCCCATTCATGAGACAATTCGAAGTCATCACACTAGGCACAAATCCAAGCTTCACTGTCTTCCTAAAAGCCATTAAACCTTCTTGAATCATTCCCGCTTTGACGTATGCTTTAGCAAGCATATCAAAGATGACTGGGTCCCAATTACACTCATGGGTACCCAAAACCAAACTTTGAATAATATCCACCCTCGGAGAAACATTTCTACTTAACTCTATCAGTTCGGACAATAGTTTCATTGCTTGAGAAAAATTCCGAGACCATGCCAATATGTGAACAATGATACAGTAATTATGATCATTTGGTTTAAGACCCAATTCGTTTTTGACCCAGTTGAAGAAAGTAAGAGCTTTAATTGAATCAGATTGGCATCTCAACAAAACCCTAGAAATTTCATGAGTACCCAAATGAGGGAGAAGCCCTTGTATCTCTTTGTGAAGAATGGCAAGATAGGCTTTGTCTTGATTGAGATTCGAGCATATGAGATTGACTATGTTGTTGGGGTTTTGGGCATGAGGAAGTAAATTGTAAAGTGGGTTTGAAAATGAATTGGTTTGAGAGTCAGTCAGTGTTTGAAGAGATGATGATGAGAAAGTCAGTTTCGATAGAAAATTGACGGTGAAGATATGTTCTGTAATTGATGCAGATATGATTGATTTAAGGATTATATGGTTAGTTAAAGTTCGACTCATCAGTAGACAGTAAGACAAAGACAAGCTAGTCGACAGAGAGAGAGAGAGACGTACCAGGTAAATGGCAAACCTTGAAGAACAAAAAAGAAAGAAACTATTGTCAAAAAACCTCTGTTCCTGCAAAACAAAGCCCTAGATTGATCTCCATTACTATTCACCCGAATTCCTTCGATTGAGTTTTCTCCTTGATCAACAATGGGCTAGGGTTTCAGGTTGAACATAAGTCAAATCTCCAGCGAAAGAAATTTAACATTTACCGTTGAAAAAAGAAGGCTTGATTTGTTTTTTAATATTATTTAGGATAAAGTGCATACAACCTCCTGTCCCTCCTCATTTAACAAGTGTTCCTGAATTATTAAAAAGTAACATTTAAGGATATTAGGTTAAGTTGGCCTTACCGGAAAAAGAAAACTATTAGTACTGTACTACTTTACCCTTTAACGAAATGGTAGCCCGTTTTAATTCTTTATTAATTTCTATTGCTGACGTGTAAAAAAATCTCAAAAGCCAGCAGAATTAAACTAACACACCGCCTTAAATATCACAACCAACGTCTAGGTCCCAAACCTCATCTTCTCCCTGCGTCGTTTTAGCACCATAAGTGGCCGGAATTCCAACATTGAACCGGCTTAGTCAGAACCCATTTTTCCATTAAAGAACAGCCAATCACACCAGCAAAAACCGACTAGACCTACTGGTGAGACGATGAAGCATGTTCATCGTGAATATTAGTGAGAGCTACAGCTTCCTTCATCAACGTGAACAGGTCCGGCCACTTTCACCTTCATAGACCCACCAGCTCCAGCGAAGTTGCAGAGACGGAACTCAGGCGACAATGGCAGAACGGTGAAAATTTGTCTTTCCAGCAACAACACCTGTGAGAAGCTTGAGCTCTCGACGGCCAACAACAAGTGACAACTGACAAATCAGCGAGACGCCGAGACCCAATTGCAGCAACAGTTCCGGCGAGCTTCAGTCAGGTGAAAGGACTCTTTTTCCAGCGACAGTACCGGTTTGCGATTGTTGAGTTATCAGATGGATGAAGATTCACAAAGAAAGATGACAATTTGGCAGAGAATGAAAGCTTAGGTGACAGATTTTTGGTTGAATTTGGTGGTTTTGGTTTGGTTTTAATTGAAAAACAAAGCTCTTTTTTTCCCAGCCCACACCAACCCATCATCACCTCCAATTATCCAAACAAATCTTTTTTGCCCAAATCTTCAAACCCAATTGTGGACAACTCAATCATGACGGCGTCGGATGCGGTAGCCATGGCTGCCGGGAGAGGAAAAGCGGCAACGACAAAAGCAAAATCCAGAGCTTCAATCCGTCAATGATTTAATTAAGGTTAATTTTGTGGTTAGTTTGGTTTGATTTGCCAAATCGGGTCCTAAATCGGCGCGAGGTTTTGGGTTTTGAACGTGGGTTTTTTTTTTTAACGTGGTCACCGGAAAATATATATGTGTACGATATATAAGGGTAGGATTGTCATTTACAATTTACAGCATATAGGCACGGCCAAACATTCACCGGAATAGTATCACCTGAGTTTTTTTTGCAAAATTGAGAATAGTTTAGGGGAATTTTTGTTAAAAAAAAAAGTTCAAGGGAATTTTTTGAAAGAGAGAGTGAAATTGAGGAAATTTTTTACACTTTACCCTATTATTCAATTTTTTAGGACAAGTGGCTAAATTTTATTGGCCCACCTCATCTGTCAAAAAGGAAACGTGAGAGCATTACTCAGTCGCCATTAATTAATTGTTGGAACCGCATGGAAAGTGAAGGTGAAAACGTTGCTATTTTGGGGCTAACCGATATCTGTGATGCCTTTGCCTGTAAGTCAAACTTCCGAAGCATTAATTACTCTTCAATATTAGAATTGAGAGCTTATTTTCTTCAAATTTCTTTCTCATATTCGATAGTTTGTTGTACAAAGATGGCTTTTGTTTGTGTTGGTTCGTTCATCTGATTAGTGCGGGTTATAGTTTTGAACCAGATTAGGGTTTCAATTTTATATAGTACAGTAACTATTAATTTCTACTTGCTCTCTCTCGATACTGAGATAGGTTTGATTATGGTTTGTCGCTATTAACATTTTGTTTTAGATTTTAACTGTGTTAAAGTATAGTCTGGTCAATCTTGGATTTTAAACCCTGCTCGTTTCGGACAAAATTTGAGCTTTTTTTCTTAATTAAACTTTGGATCCAGTCTCATTACACTGTTTACATTCTCTATAAATGTTAATGTCACAAAAGTATTATGGGTTGTTTTGTACATCTATCTGAACTTTAATTGTCTTTTTCATTTTTCATAGCATTTGCGCTGACCAGTAGAGTAACTCAGGAACACCTTTCCGTTTCCCAAAATTAAAAATTAAGAACAAATGAGGTCTTTCATGGCATCCTAAAATCCCTCTTGAAGTATAAAAGGCTCATCTCAGATTTTGTTTTGAACACTCATTTAATCTAGTGAATGTTCAAATTTCCCTAGTAGAGTTACCAAATTTAAAAATTGTTAGCACAAACTCGAGAGAGGGCAAAGAAACGGATTAGTCAATAACATTGTTGAAGCTTATATCTTTCTTTGTGAAGGAAAATGTTAGCTGTTGTTTGAAGAATGTCCATTAATTTAATGTTACCTTAGTAGAACTGTTAGGACCCTGTTGATATTTCTGTTTTGCTTTTTGATAGGAAGAAGGAATGCTATAGCATTTCTGTTGTCTACTTATGATGTCTGCGTTGGAGGAATTGAAAAAGAAGCTCACACCTTTATTTGATCCTGAAAAGGGTTTTTCATCTGCATCAACATTGGACCATGATGATTCTTATACGGTAAGTTATATTCTGGAGGTGTACCTTGATACAAGCAACAGAAAATTCTACTTAATATTTTGTCACTTTCTCTGAAGCTATCGGATGGTGGAACTGTTAACTTATTGAGTAGATCGTATGGAGTATACAACTTTAATGAGCTTGGACTGCAAAAGTGCACATCGTCACCCATAGAGGACACAGATCATGGTGAAAGGACATACAGGTGTGCTTCCCATGAAATGAGGATTTTTGGAGCCATAGGTAGTGGTGCAAGCAGTGTGGTTGAGAGAGCTATTCATATACCCACTCATAGAATTCTTGCCTTGAAGAAGATTAATGTTTTTGAAAAGGTTTTCATTTATCTATTCTTCTTGCCCTTACTGTTTTTTGATGTTGATATAAGGGATTTTGGTTCTTATGCTATTTTTTTGGCTTGCTAGTATTTCTATTGGTTGATATACTATCAAAACCCAAAGACACTCTGAAAAATACAAGTAGATTATCCTGTCCAGAATATATATATATACATATATGTAGAACCTTTAACTCTACGTTATATCCATTCTATGATTATAAATTCCGAAAATTTAAAATGTTTTGGCATTTCACGCTTGCACCTGATGCATTATTATCTTGCCTTAAAGAATTCTGTTTGTAAATTTTGGCAAGAAAGCACTTTTATATTTGGAATGCTAATATTTTCCAGGTTGCTTGTGTTGCCCATGTTTCTAGGCATCTGCATCTTATGTTATTCTTTATGCATGAAAGAGAAGGTGTATTAAAACCCAGTGATCACTGGAAGTAGCTTGTCTTTTTGATGGCAAAGTTTGAAATGTTTACTTGTTGAATTCGAACTAAAAGCAACATTAATGTAGTTTGTGGCTTTGTGCTGATTAAAAGTGTATGTTTTAAAGTGGTAGCTTGGTGAAAAATACCATTGACTTTTCATTTTATCTTACATAAATATGCTCATGAGCATATCAGGATAAAAGGCAACAGCTTCTTACTGAAATACGAACTTTGTGTGAGGCACCTTGTTATCATGATCTTGTGGAATTCCATGGAGCATTTTACACTCAGGCCTCTGGGCAAATAAGCATAGCTCTGGAATACATGGATGGTGGATCCCTAGCAGATATAATACAACTGCGGAAATGTATACCGGAACCAGTTCTTTCATCTATGGTTCAAAAGCTTTTGCATGTAAGGATATTTTCTTCTTTTCATATATGGTGTTTCCCTATACATGTATTGCTATATTCTTTTTAGAGTTTTGTTGATGTGTGCTGTATTTGTATGCAAGGGACTGAACTATTTGCATGGAGTTAGACATTTAGTTCACAGAGACATAAAGCCCGCAAATTTGCTTATAAATCTCAAGGGAGAACCAAAGATAACGGATTTTGGTATAAGTGCTGGCTTAGAGAATACAGTGGCAATGGTTAGTGCAGATATTGCATCAGTCTGTACTTTCTTTAAATGTTACTGCCTTTTTGTTTTAAATTTAAATGCATATTAATGTACATAAATATAAGATTATGTTATTAATTTCACTCTGAATTGGGTTTACCAGTGTGCTACTTTTGTTGGAACTGTTACTTACATGTCACCTGAGCGAATTCGAAATGAAAGCTATTCTTATCCAGCTGATATTTGGAGTCTTGGGCTTGCACTCTTTGAATGTGGTACAGGGGAATTCCCATATATGGCCAATGAAGGACCTGTTAATCTTATGTTGCAGGTGGCATTCCAATTTTTTCCCAAAATTCATATTCCATTAATTTATGTTGCCTTCATTTTTTTTCTATGTCAATTAGAATGATATCTTTTTCAAATATTAGTTATTTGAATTTAGGAATTAAACTTTCAGAAATTAACTATTATATCAAACTTGCACTTAACTGATTGCTACTAAATAATTGGCATAATTGTTCATATATGTTTTAAGTATTCATTATGCAAGGAATCTTTGACTTCTCAGTGAGGAACAAAGAAAAAAGGAGAGCTGCATCTTTATCTTTTCCTTTTCATTTTTTGTGAAAAAAAGAAGAAGAAGAAATTTTCATGATAGATTTAACTTAAATCTTAATGGCATTGTTCCATTTGACTTGTTTCTATCTACGTGCATGTCTGTTTCATAACAATAACAATTCACAGTTCTTCGTGGCAGATTATAGATGATCCATCACCATCGCCATCGAAAGACTTCTTTTCATCAGAATTCTGTTCATTTATTGATGCTTGCCTACAGAAGGATGCAGATGCAAGGCCAACAGCAGAGCAGGTGAGCAAAAGCAGATACCAGTTTCAACATTTATTTAAGGTGAAACTTTGGACAATACCATGGTTTTTTTTTCTTTTTTATAAGTACAATACCATGGTAAATTAATTGAGCTTTAGATAAGATTTGGGATCATAAAATGAGTCATTCACTTTCCCTAAGACTTGAATAAGGGGATTTTGAGATTTGAATTATGAGATTATTTTGGTGATCTGGAGAAGTCTGCTGGTTCTGTAAATAGCGCGCTTGTTGTGTAACTAATGTGCTCGTGTGCTAAAACTGTGCTGGTGATGTGGGTGTTTTGTACAATCAGATATTTTTAACTAAGATTTGCTGATGAAATGGTCAAAATGCTGCAAGCCAACCCTTCATAAGCAATTTGATCTATTATAAGGTGTAATAGAGCAAATCAGCTCAAGTTTGATATTAGCATTGATATGAACCATTATAAGATTTAATAGAGCAAAGCAAACTCAAGTTTTATGTTAGCATTGATAATAATAGCTACGGATGTGCTAGTATTACTGGCAAAGAGAACCAAAAAGAATTAAAACCATTAAACATAGAAAGTTGTGGTGATTGAGGTTGCATTATCCAGTTAGTTCCCTTTCTATAGGGCCACATTTTAAGAATTTATGACGAGTTCTCTTTGGTACTAGAAGTTTTGCCCGAGTTCTGCAAATAGCAGCTAATGTGAACATCCCTTGTATGATAAAGAAGACATTTCTTTATAAATAATATCGTTGAGAAGTCCTGATGTCCTACTTTCTACAGAGTATGAAAATTTGTACCAGCAGGATTTTGTAATATGAAGTTCACGTTTTAACTTTTGATCTTTGGATGTACTTTCTTTATAATTTGGATGCATGTCAATCTGTTATTCTTCCCTTGCCACTTTATGCAAGGATCACGTGTATGTTTAGAGATTGTTGATATACGTGCCACAGCACTTGCTAAAGTGGCACCACCTCCGAAAATTAGCACACCTGGCCAATACTGAACTGGCGTGTCCCTGAGGAACCAAGTAGTCATGAGCTACTTGCCCTATAATCTGAACTCACTAGCCGAGGAAGGGGTCACTACCCTTCCTCTCCTGTGGACACGCCCCGCTCCAGTCGGATGGGCCCCTCCTCCCTCTCCTTTCCAAGGTTGCTTCCTGCAGGCGTAACCTCGAACATTCCTCTCTCGAGCTTTCCCTTGAACTGAAGGGACCTTGAGACGCAGAACTAGGGTAAGAGCTCCGCGAGGCCGAGAAGGCGGAACCTCGAGGAAGGCTCTTTCCCCATCTTCAGCTTTGGGAATCTGAGGACATGTGGATAGGTGGCTGGGATCCAAGGAATCGCCTCTACTCGAGGCCGATACACGGGGGAAAGGACATTCGATACCCTAACTCGAGCTCCGAGCATAGCAAAAGAAGCATTAATTACAAAGGACATTTGATAAGACCCGCATTAATTAAGAAGTGCCATTACCTCTTCGGACCGGGGGGCAAAGCGCTACGGTCCGCTGTCAATATCCCATCCTTCAGAGGAGGGGACCCTCGAACCCGCGGGCAAGAGGGAGCTCGCTCTAGAAACCGACAGACATTAATCAGCCTTTAAAGAGGCAGAACAACCACACTTAACTACTCATTAAGACCGAGCTCGAGTTACTAGGGTACCGAGGTCGGCCTTCCCTTTCTTAATCTCCGATCTCAGAGAATACCTTGTATCGCTTGGATTCCCACTTGGATGCTAATCTCAGTTCTCTCGGCCTACGTGGAATAATCTCCTCATCCTACTAAGAACTACTATAAACAGAGATTTAGGAACATTATGTAGAGAAGGTTTGGACCTATAATTTAGAGTTTGCAATCATTCAGATTCAAGTTGGGTTGAAATATACTCGTTGAGAACCTACTTCCCAACAATATTTATTCAGTAGTAGTTAAATTTTTCATTTTTATTTAGTGTAGCACATTATCCTTAATAGCCCGCCCTACCAAATCTCAGCCTGATATTGGTCAGTTTATCTTTGTCACAAAATTCCACCCAATATTAGTCTAGGGCAATATTAGCACAAACATGCTAGTTTTCATGATCCTTCATTTTTCTTGCTATAGAACTCTTTTTATGTGCTCTTTCACATCTTTCTCTATCATTCATAGGATACATTTTTGCCAATACAATATGTGGTTCAAGCTTTAAATGTATTAAGATTTTAATAAGTGAACCTATAATATTTTCACCCACATTGTGTTTGGTGGTGTATTTGGAGAGAGAGAAATAACAGAAACTTTGAAGGGAAGGAATCGTCTTTTGCAAACCTTAAGTCTTTTATCCTACGCTCTCTTTTCTGTTATGTCAGAGGCAGCACTTGCTCCTCGATCGATGACTTTTTTGTTCTATTGGACTCTGTTGGTTCATAGGTTTGGCTTTTGCTCTTTCGTTTTTGTGTATTAGGGACGCGTTCCCCTTTTGAACGTCTTTCTAATATATTTTTACTTATAAAAAAAAAAATATTTTCACTCACATATGGAAGTTTCTCATGTGAATGTCGTCATCGTCATCGTCGTCGTCATCATCCTTGCCTTCAACCCAAATGAATGGGGTCAGCCACATGAATTATGTTTCTCCAATCTTTTGTATTACATGTCATTTCACCTACCATATTTAACCTTTTAAAATCATTTTTAATTATCTCATCCTATGTTATTTTTGTTCGCCCTTTCCGTCCCGTACCTTCTATTACAACTAGTCTTCCTCGCTTTACCAGCACTTCTCTAGTTCTCTAGTACATGTGTACCACTTAAGTCTACACTTTCTAATTTTCTCGCCAATGGGTGCTACACCTAATTTTTCTCACCCTTTCATTAGTGACCCTATCTCTTCTAGTCACTCCATTCATCCATCTTAACATTCTCATATCTACTACGTGAAGGTGTTGTTCTTGTTTCATTTTTTAGGACCCAACACTCCACCCCATACAACATAGTTGGTCTAATAATTGTCTTATAAATTTTTCTCTCATGTGAATGTATATGATCTTTAATTCTTGATCGACAACATGAAATGAAGACAAAGACATTTTACCTTGACATTGTTTGATTGGTATTTCTACTGCAGCTTCTTTCACACCCATTTATTACCAAGTATGACGATGCTGGGGTGGATTTAGCAGCGTTCGTCCAAAGCGTTGTTGATCCTACACAGAGGATGAAGGATTTAGTAGATGTGAGTAACTAATTTAACTAACACTTCTCACTTATTGATCACTATCTAACTATGCTAGCAATTGTTTTAACTTCCCAGCTTTAAAAAGGAATTGGTAAGAAATGAAAGGAGCACGTATGTGGTATTGTATACCAAGTTCAGATATTGTTTTCGGTAGATCTGGATACAGAGCATCGATTAATTAAACTTCAAGATGTCCAGCTGCTATAAACAGAAGATAAAAGAGGGTAGCATTTTGCATGACTTTAGAACTCAACTTAAAACACATTTTTCCAACTATATGGGGTCAATTACATGAATGCTATTTGATTTTTTTGTGCTATTTGGATCATAATTTTAGGCAGTAAACATTCTCATATGTCTTAACTATCTCAACCTACATTAATTTTGGTCTTGTCGTATCCCTAACATTTCCCTTAATATGGACTGTCAATCTTCCTATATATATTTTAATTTTTCTTCATCGTAAATAACCAAACCATTTGAGCCAGAATTCACTTACTCTGCATAGTTCAGGAAATAATAGGAGATGAACAGGACCCATGAAAGTTATCGGGAGATGAATGGGAGAGTACTCCTAAGTATTGCCTTCTTTTCCTATCTACTATATTTGGAGAATGATAAGTATCTATAGATGTTTTGCACATGCAAATTTGTTACATTCACCCAGAAAATGCGCTCAAAATGCCTTGGCTTCATCCCCTCAGTAATCTGGTCATTGTCTGTGTTCAAGTGACTACTGACAAGACATAATGTGAGTAGCTTGGATTATAACCTCGAATAGCCTTGGCTAAGTTATTAAGCCAAGACATCTTAAGTATCTCAAATAGTATCATGACACAATACCCATTTAACACACCATAACTGCATGGATCTCAAGTAGTGGACTAATTGTACCATTGACCACTAAAAGGTTCTACCATGTCATTGCTCACATACCATGAGGATGATAATACAGCATGATGTCAAGAATATAACACCATAATCATAGGGATCACATTGTACCATAGGAGTACAAAGCAACCACGTGATAACAGCATCATGTCAAAAATAATTTGTTCCAAAGGAAAGACTGAAATAAAAGGTATTCATAACTATACTCTTGGTCATACCAACGGTCAAATAATCACTTTTTATTCTTTTATTTTCTTTTTGTCAGTATAATCACTTTTCATTCTGTTTTCCTGAGCATTAATTTCACTCATGGTTTCCTGACCAGATGCTCACAATACACTATTACTTGCTTTTTGATGGACCGGATGAACTTTGGCAACATACAAAGACCTTATATAGTGAATGTTCAGTTTTCAGGTATACAACGTCTCATTGACCCATTTTTTCCATTTTTTTTTTTTTTTTGAAGCAAAAGTTAGATTTACTTCAGAGAAAGTTGATGAGATTGTGGGTGATTTTAAGTAGTTGGGATTAATGCCTTGTTCTTAAGTAGAGAAGATAAAAACACTGGTCAATTGATGCAATTCACAGTTCAACTCGAACAAAGCCTTGTCCAACTATTTGATGGTCCATTTTGCTTTGAGGTCATATTTTCAGTTAAATGGCATGTTATTATATATTTTCTTACTTCCTTGATATATGTTAATTTTTGTCTTTCCCTTCTCTTGGCATTACTCTTTATGTGAAACATGCATTCTTTCTCACTGGTACTAGTACGAGTGGTTGCTACACATGACCAAACCATCTTATTCAATTTTCTCTCATTTTTTCTCGAATGTTTGCTACTTCAACTGTTTGATGAGTGTATTTCATCTGTAATTGTATCTTTTATTATTTTATCATACATCCATGTCAGCGTGTGATTTTTAAATTACTTTATTTTTTTTTTTTTGCCAAGCTTATTTTTTTTGCTGTGCAACATTATGTCTTGTAAATTAGTGGCTTGTCTCTTGATCTCGATCTTTCTTTGATCGTATTGTATTCCTAGTTTTACGAAACTTACATTCAGGTTTAGTCGTATATGTCTTAAATTGAAGAAGCTTCATGCATAATTGGACTAAAATTGGAAAAAAAATCATGGTTCTTGAATATAATTGCATGCATGCATGTGTGCATGATGAAGGCAGAAGATAGGACTTGTGGCAGGAATTGAATTTAAAAGATTCACCTCTGTTGAAGTTGATCTCTATGCATCTGGTTAGTTGAAAATTTATGATTGTCGCTTAAAATTTAAATGAAGGATGATTTATTTGTATTCCTACCATATTGGAGTGTATTTCTGAACTTTTGAGGGTAGATGCATAGTTTGGATTGTTCAATTTGGGTTGCATCTGTGATCTTAGTTTTTTTTTTTTGGCTAATGCAAACCTTTATATTTTTAGTTTCTCTGGCAAAGAATATTTAGGTCCAAATGACATCTTTGCAACTTTGTCAAATATTCGGACTACATTAGCTGGCGAGTGGCCGCCTGAAAAGCTTGTGCATGTTGTGGAAAAACTTCAGTGCCGTCCTCATGGTCGAGATGGAGTTGCAATGCGTGTATCAGGATCATTTATTGTCGGGAATCAGTTCCTTATATGTGGAGATGGTATACAAGCAGAGGGTGTGCCAAATTATAAAGATCTTTCGATTGATATATCCAGCAAGCGAATGGGTACATTTCAGGAGCAGTTTATCATGGAACCAGGGAATGTCATTGGCTGTTATTTTATATCTAAACAAGAGCTTAATATCATTCAGTAGAAACTGTGAGGATCTTCTCCTTCAAGGTCAGTTAACTTTAACACCTGTTTACAAGTTTACATCTTAAGTTGGTGCTTTGTACTGCATTGGCTCTGAATTCTCTGATGTGAAATTTATTCTGACTGATGGAAATTTCTTGATGTCAGATTATTCTATGACTTTTTTTGTGAACATTTCCTACATGTCATCGGGGCTCTCCATATGTTATCAGCACTATTTTCATAACAGGCCAGTCTTCAATGGCATTGAACCCATAGACATTCATGGTATGTTTAATTATTTTCCTTTTTTTTTCTTTTTTTTTTATCAAGTCTAATAGGTGTTTATATTGTAGTCACTTCTACATGATGTTAGATATACATGTACAAATCAAATTATTATACTGGCTTCTTGGTTAAATTTCACATAGGGACTTTTGTGAAATAGGTGATCATGGGCCAAAAAGTACAAGTCCCTTGTGGGGCCTACTTATCAAATCACCTTTATGCTGCAACTCATAAATGATTAAAAGTATATTATATATGGAGACTACACAAATAAATCAAAATAGAAAGGGTTTCAGGTAGTTTTGCTTGATAATCTAAGAAAGTTAATTCAAGATAAACATGTTTTGAACACTTGATATAGCATATTTTACGTGGCTTTAGTTTTCCATGAACTGTTCTTTCAAAATTTCGTGTACAACTAACTAGCTGCTTGGGACATAGGAGTTTGTTTATTGAGAAGGTGCATGTCACACAATATCTAGATCTACTCTACAATATTTATATGTAATATGTCATCCCTTGTTAGTAGATTTGCATTCAAGTTAAATTCCTGGATCAATTTGTGAAATTATGACCAATACTCGTATTGGCTTATTTGACCTAAAGAAAATGTTGCTGAAAATAACACAGATTCTTCTTTTTTTTTTTATTTTGTGAATATTATTACTCCAAAAAAAAAAAAAAAATGCAGGATTCACAATGACCTGCTGAAATGTTTCCGACTGGTGTGGAAGGGATTGACAGGATTTGATTTTCAGAGCCTCTGATAAGGGGAGAACTAACAATAATGTTGAACAACAAAGAGAACATGAAGTTAGTATCGATTAAAGAAAACATGAGAAAGGTTGTTGGTAGTGTTAAGTACATAGTTTTCCATGGTGTTAAATTATTAATGATTTGGATAGAAGTGTGGTTACCAGGAAAAAGGAAAGAAAGTTAAATAAATAGAAGAAGAAGAAGAAAGAAAATAGAAGTCCTTGAAAATGAATCAAAAAACTGAACAAGCTTTCCATTCTTAAATATATGTTTCATCATCTTCAAGTGGGCTGAGTTTTTAAAATCAAAGCTAAACATTTGAAATTTTTACCTTAGCATTTTTTTTTACTAAATTACTGTATAAACGAAGTGATTTTTTTTTTCTTTCTGACAGGTCTCAACCATGACTCCTACAAGAGCTTTGGGATGAGAGATGATTCTTCTCCAGTTTGTGGAGTTCTATTTGTTAGCATTGTGTCCTTTTAAATATACACCTCTGTGGGGTATAGATGTAAAGTTTATCTGAAAACATTGATTACAAAACTTATAGTAGGTGTAGATGTCGAAGTTCCATTACATGTACAGCCCAAGAGCCCTCACATGTCATCAAATTTGAATGTATTATTGTAAGAGATAGTATCTGAGTAAGTATAGGAGTAAATTGTAGGCTCTGCTATTGTTTTCTTTAGCAGGATAAAGAATGATGCGTTTTGCATGTTTGTGATGCCCATATGCTATAGAGAAATGTATTTCACTTCACCACAACCACCCAAAAACTAGCAGAGCAGGTCACAACACTAAATACTTTTTTATTTTCTGTTATTTTTTTGTTGTAAAATATTTACAAAGAAAAATAAATATTAAAATCAAACAAAAATAATTTATCTATCAATTTTTTAAAGTTATTTTACATCTTCTGCCCAATGGACTTAACCTCAATTTAGTTATTTACCAAACATCGGAAAAGTAAAAATAAAAAATATATATTTTACTTTAAAAAGAAAAAGTTTTTTCAAAAAAAAAAAATATTTTAGGTCAAAACTAACAGAGCCTTAAAGCAACAAAATTTGACATGGAACAATAATAGCAAAGGAAATATGAAACACGAGTGAAAGTTAAAAGACCCTAAGCGAAAACTGGATCTCGTAACCAATCACAAATAATTTGGACGAGATACCATTTCGCTTTAACCGCGACACACTGAGTTGCTGTCTTCAATGTCTCAATAATATCACCTCTTTACCCTCAAGTTTATAACCCTCAAGTTTATAACCAAGAAACTTTATGGTAAAAATTCATAAATATGAAACAACATTCCAAACAAAGCAGAAGCTTTTCATGAAATACAAGCTGATACTAGAACATTTTTTAGTGCACTACAAATGTTTTTCTTTTTATCAAATAACATAGCATATCTCTCAATTACATTCTTCACCTATGTACAGAATACAAACAAGCACAAAAAAAGAAAATAATTATGTTCCCCCAAAATTCCCAATGCTCAGCCCAAGAATAATAATAATAACTCCTTCCCAATGAAAACTTTTTTATATCAATTTACAGTTCTAGTACAAATCTGCAAAACACAATGTAAAAGCTCTTTTGGCTTGCCATGCTATAAAATTGTTACATATACCAAAGAAAAAGACCATTGTGAAAGCTATACCTGTTCAAAAAAAACCTAGAAAGGTTCCTTTGCCATCTCCATAAGTGAACAAGCCATCGCAAAATTGTCCATTTTAAATACAACCTTCGCTACAATATAATCATGAAGACGCCAGAAAGTAATCTCGAATTGTTCTTTTCAAAGAGGAAGGAGGATTTAGAACAGATGACGGACTAGTTAATGCAGCTTCAGGTGTTCTCTCAATGTTTTCTTTCAGATCTAAGCCTGATGAGAATTTTTTCTGTTGAGACTTTGGAGTGCTGAGTTCAGGCATTGTAGTTCGCTTGGGTGAATTAATTTGGTGCATTTCTCCATCTGATGGACAACTGCCAGAATCCTTTTTGAATCCCTTTGGCTCTTCCTCCGCAAAAAGCTTTTTACATTCCATGCTTGGAAGTGCCATTACTCTCCTTCGAATAGAAGATGGAGATCTTGTATTTGAGTAACAACTGCTTTGGATGTTCCAAAAGCGAACCTATCATGGAAATATTTGTAGAAATAAAGATGTAGTTGGAACGAAACATTAATAGTGAATCATAACATCTTAAATTGTTGCATAAACATGATTAAAAGTATGCTGTTACATAAGCTTCACAGATTGGTATTGCTTACAGTGAAATCATCAGAAGAAGTGGCTACTTTTCCTGTCTCAGATGGGCACCTGCAAAATGAAATAAGTTTGAGAACTTGGTTAAATATTTGTGAAGTGGCCTTTGCAACCGTGTAGCAGCATTTGCATTGAAGGTATACCAGTTTACTGCTGTAACTTCTCCATCATGACCTCTCAGTATGGTGGGATCTGCTTGAGGTTTGTTCACCTGGGTTGACAAAGCTAATGAAGTTAAGTCCTAAACAGCACAAACTTTGGATGAAATATAAAAAAACCCTCTTGGAAAGGAAATAACCTGCCATATGTAGGCATTTCCATCACTAGAACCGCTCAGTATGTGAGCTGCATCAGGACTCAATGCTGACTGCAATTGCATCAATAAAAATCAATATGTATGTCATATATATACGTGTGTGTGTGCGCGTGTAGGCAGGCCCAGCAGTTTACCACTAAAATAATTACTGTCAGGAGTTAACAAATGATGCTTACCTTCACGAAAAAAGATCCAGTGCGGCATCCAGAGAAAGATCTCACAGGACCCTTATCAAGCTGAAGTACATTATATAGGTATATTCTGAAACAAAACAAGATATTATATATAGTTGATGTACTATGATTTATCTCATCTCATGTCAAAAGTGGATAAGAAAACTGGGATGCATCCTCATACTCAAGGTGGCATTCACAAAGCTTAAGTGTTTATTTAGTTTTCCAATGGTAGTGGTTAAATTTCAGAGTATCTTCCTTTTGTAGTTAGTTAATCCAGCGTCTGTGCAAAATAATGCTAATAAGAGAACTGGAAGATACCTATTGTCCATGCATGAAGCTGAAATAAATACTCCATTTAAATCTTGGGACAGGCATGATATGCCATGTAATCTTCTTTCCTGGAATAAGAAATGAGAATTAATGATAGTTCATATGTCAATCATTAAATAAATTGACCGGAAGTTCAAATTTTAATGAATCATTAAAATTGTGAATTACATGCTATTCCATGTGAGGTGCAGACCTCTAATCATGGTGGAATCTAAGCATCATTGGTATTAATTTTGAGGTCATTGAAGTGGCAATGAAGTTCAGTGCCTCTGACACAGTCACACAAAGCCCTTATTTATAAAATGAGAAGATAGCCATTACAAAATGGAGATATGGAAAATAGCAGTTATTATGCATTCCATACTAACCTTTTCACTTGAAGACTCCGTATGAGGACATGCCTGAATAACTGGACCTTTTAGGTTTCTGGTATCCCAGAACTTTACAACACTGCAGTAAATTATTATATCAAGCCAAATAAATAAATTTAACTCTTGACCATCATTATCATACAATTTCTAACTGAATAACTCATCATTTATTATCACGAAATATCACAAAATCTTCTTACACACCTGTCTACTGCTCCAGCAGTAGCAATGGAGACCTCGTCTTTTAGATAAAGAACTGATGTGATACTCATGGAAGCAGCCTGAAATAACTGAATCTTTAGTAGAAAGCAAAATGAAATGTAATTAAAGTATTTGGCACGGAAATATCATTAGAAAGTAACCTTGCCACGCCTAGTCCGCTTTCCATTTGGTGAAATATGAGCCCCATGGACCGCAGCAAATGAACTGAAAGTTACAAAATTAGATTTAGGATCAATGTAAAAGGAGATATCTACAAAACAGCACAGCACTAGGCCCACGTATCTACATTGTTCAATTGATTGGGCATACGGGAATAGTGCATGAGTTGTTTACAAATCAAAAAGATTTACGTAATTCCGCAAAGCCTAGACGAAGCGAAAAAAAATCACCAGATGAAAAAATAGGAGATTACAAGTTTCAGCCTCCCAAAACCTACCTCTCGCTCTCTCTTTCATGCTATTTTCAGTGTCTCGCATTACCCATTCCAAACCCTAAACTCTGCCCTTATATACTGGGCTACAAGAGAATCCTAGGTCCATGATCCCCAAGAGAAAAATAGGTCCCAAAATCACAAACTTCTTTTGATTTGATGTTCTTCCCGAGAAAGAGTGTACACATGTTTTTTTTGAGCATCCAAATAAAATAGAAGGTATATAACAGCTTTTGACCCATTGAAGATGTGTTTCAGTCCATTTGGATGTTCTATGTCAATTATAACAGTCCCGTTGATGCTTAGGTCCCTCATAGACTGCTAACTAGATAGATGAATATACAGTTCATAGATCATAAGAATCAACCAGATGAAGGAAATACAGAACTTACTCTATGCAGAACTTCCCAGAGCCCCTCAAATCCCAAAGGGCAAAGGACCCGTCTCTTGAACCAGAAACAATGACATCTGTCGGACAGCAATAAACAGTGTCACGGAAATGGAGATTGTTTCACATCATTTTCAAGTAGGAAACGGAGAACAAGAAAATGAAACCATAAACTCACCAGGATTTGTTGGATGAGAGCATACGGATTTCACACTTGCTGTATGCCCCATCAATGCCCCAATACATTTCTTTTCTTGAGCATCCCATACCTTTATCTGTCAAAACCAAAAGGAATGTGTTATTGTCCAAGAAGTTGACATGGACTTGAACTATATGTAACTCATCTTTGTTATGTCTTTCAAAATTAAGTTTCTTGCTGATTTTACTAATGAGTAACTGTTTTGAAATTCTAAACTCTTATACATTTTACTCCCTGACCACTAAGGATGATTTGTAATTGTCCAAATTAGACTTCATCGTTTCATGTTATCGGCTGTGTCCATGTAAGTCATAAAGCAATAAAGAGCTTACATGGACACAACCAAAAGCACAAGAAGAAACATACAGATGAGACTCATCATTGATCATGCTTATCAAAAGCTTTTATGCATATTTTATGCTAGATTTAGAATCAGGTGAGCATATCTTTAAGGACTTTAACAAATGCCATCAATTTTCCTTGGGCGTGAAATGCAAATTCAGAAAATAAACTACATCCAAGCATGATTACTCACACTCTGGTCACCTGAAGCTGTTAGAATGCTGGTGTCTTCCTGAAAAAATTAATAAATAAAAATGAAGTTATCATAAATATTAACAATAAGCAACACTCAATTCCAGAAAATTTGAGAACAAAAAATTAAAGAAAATATTCTTTTTATCCTGGTTTATCATTTCCTCATCATCTAATATTTATTGTTTACACTTGCTCACTACATACCATTATCATCTCCATGCTATAAAATTCAGTGTGTTTTGTTGGAATTTCACAACATTGAGATAACTTCCCAAAGGTCATATTCCTTCGCGATAGATATGTTAACAAATGCACAGCTTCGATATGAAAATAAGGGCACTGTTCATTTGCCTTGCCGTTTACCAGATTTCTTATTGAACGTTTTTTTATCCTAAGTGTACTATTTTCATTTGCATTCATAACCCTTTCAACATTTTGTTTTTTTTCTTCTCCTCCTTTAGGCCTTTCTATTTCCAACACTCCCTGCGTGGAAATAAAGAGGACAATTTAACAACCCCCAAATTTGCTTATATTAATTCAGTTGATTATTTTGCTATTGAATTAATATATTATGGATGTAGTATTATCATTAGAACTTTTTGTTACTTCCAGGATCTTTTTTTTTTTTTTTTTTCACCCAGGATCTTTTATGAACAATGGAAAATTGGGTATTTCAGATACATGAAAGCTTCAGAAATGTTTTGTTAAGTATTGGATTGTTGAATCTTAATTGAAAATTGCTAATTTCAGAAATTAATAGTGAAAAATAAGGCACATTGAATATATATAACATGAATGATTATGAAGTACCTTGATCCAACACACATCAAATATGGCATTATCGTGGGCAACCCACTCGCATACCCTAGCTTTTTCTGCAAATTGTTAGCAAAACAAAGGCAATTCAAAAGTTATTGGATGAAGAGTTACATATAATCATCTATCAGAACAAAACCCAAAACAAATTACCTGAATTTTCTTGGTAACTCGAGAAAGATGGGAATTCCAAACGAGTATTGTACAAACTAACATACCCAAACTCATCAGTCACAGCAAGAATATGGGAACTCTTACTTGTCTGTAAAATTGTATATTTACAAATCAATAGATTGACAATTTGTTTTGAAATCTCGTATATACATAGATTGAGCTGGATCATTGAACAAGAACTTACATTGCAGAAAGAGAGTGCCATTGGAGGCGTTTGGTCGCCACTGTGCTCAACAGCCACAGCTCCAATTTGACTGAATTCCGACGAGTCATTGTCGATGTATGGTCGTTTTCGAACTGAACACGCCAACATAAACATGAGAATATATATAAAGTTAATATATATGTGGTGAGAGAGAGAGAGCACCTCTGAACCCATTTAACTCTCTTGATCTGATGTCCTGGAAGAATGACCGAGATTTGGAGATCTCCATTTGCAATATTTACAGGGGGGGGGGGGGGGGTGGGCGGAGTGGAGAGTGAAGAAGAAGATTTGTGCGTGTATCTGTATATTTTGACCTTGGCGCCAGGTTAGTCGTCGGGTAAGGCGGGAAACTTGAATTTTTGTTCATCTTGAGCGGTAACGTTTCCTGTAGTTGCTGTTTCCACGCGGGCGTATGACCTAAAAGTTCATGTGTGTTTATTAAGCTTGAATTATGGTAAATTTTTGCTAAAATTAACAAAATCCCCTCTACTTCCACTTTTTACATTTACCCTTGAACTATTGAGGCATAATTTTTAAAATAGTAAGTATTGGATACTATTTGAAATACAATAAATACGAGAATATAAGTATAAAACAATTTAACAAAAATAATTACCAATAAAGGGAGTCATACAAAAATAGTCCAAAATGCCCCTCAATTTTTGAACATTTCCATTCAACTAGGGAAGGCAATTTCCTCCAACTCGGCAAGTTTTCACTCGCCCCGCCCCTAATAGGACAGATTTGGTAGTCCCCTAAATAGATTTGGGTTGGATATGGTAAAATAATTAAAATTCGAAGTCGGTTTAGAGTGGAGGCCGATTTAGTGATAAACTCGGGCCAATTATATATGTATCTTTAAAAAAAAAAATTATATATATATATATATATATATATAATATTTTTAAAACTCTTATTACTTTGTTACAAGCGTCGTTAATATATTAATATTTAGTACTTGGAAATTTAAAAGCCGAGCCAGCTTATTTTTCAACCTTCAGCACGTTGGGCTATTTTTTTTTTATTAAATAATAAAAGTAGCATAACTTACCCACTCCCGCAATTAAGCGAAGTACACAGCGCGTCCCAAAATAAGGGTAGATTTAGTATAACGAATTTTCTAACAAGGCAGAATATAGTTTAGATAAATCCACTGCAACTACACAGCCTTGACATCCCTACATCCGTCTCCTCTTCCTCTAGAGATGACAATTTCCTCCGATCATGCGGGTTTTCGTCCTGCCCTTAATTGGGGCAAACTTGACTTTAAATGAGTTTATGATGAATACGGTAAAATAATTAAAAATCCGAAACAGGGGGAAAGCAAATTTAACCATAAACCCGCCCCGGTTTGCAGGAGGATTAAAGACCCGCCGCCAGGCCTCGACCACCACCCATTGACGAACTCATCCCCTCCGGCGAACATAAAACACATGACAATGACAAGAACCAACCATGAAACAAAGGGTCATTCATCCTCCTGCAAACCAAAAACAAGAAACCCGTATCTGTATGTAACAAATTAGGATCAAATTTTTGACCCAAATCCATTCGTCTAGATATTTGCGAATCACACACGGTGATTTCACAAGCTTACTGTAAGGAATTTCATCAAATTTATTATAATTAACCAAAAGAATTGGAGCAGAAGTGACTTCATCTTGCAAGTCCAAAGAACCCAGGTAGGTGATCAGTACCTTGAACCAGCCACATATTGCTTCTCTCTCTATAAACTTACTGTGGAGAGAGGATGGAGTTGCACATTTTTTTCTTCACAATCAATTCTCTCTCATCACACCCACTTCTTCAATTCGCCATAAATCACAACCCGAACCCTACATATCAATTTTCTCACTCCACGTATCTCAAATTTCTCTCTAAAATTCTCCTCTCTCCATATATATATATATATATATATATCTATCTACATACCGTATAAAAATTATTCAATTTTGATTTTTTATATACATTTTAAAATTATTTATTTAATTTACAAAAATATTATACGCCCCATTACCTTTTTACACACTCTTTTTTTTTTTTCCTTTCTTTCTTCTTTTTTTTCCAAAAGAGTTCTTCTTTTAAACAATTTTTAAATTTTAATTTAAATCAATCTTACACTATATATTCTGAATTTATTTGTTAAAAAATCAACTTTAATTATATACCTTGTGAAAAAAAATTGTAACTTCCTCCAACGTAATTTCTAAAAGACATCAATAGTTAAGATGTCTTTCTATTTTTATATTTAAAAGAGACGCCTATTGTGAAGAGTTGTCTGCCGCTTATATACACTTACGAGTCATATGATCTAAAAAAAGAAAAAAACTCTTTCATGTTATCTTCTTCTCTGCAAAAACCTTTTTTGTTTTTTTCCCGGGCAACATTATAAGTGCATTATACTTCTTAAATAAATTATATATTTAAGTTCCAATTCTTTTCTACTCTAAAAACTTTTTTATGTCTCTCTGTATTTTTTATATTTATTTATATTTACTTCTATATCACATTATTATTGAAATATTTTAGAGTTCCTTTTACATATAACTTTTATTCAATATATTGTAATTATTACATGAAAGAGTTTCTTACATTGCTAATAGTATTGTGTGGGTGTTCAATAAATATGAAGCAGATTAAGACTTTCACGGACATGACAAAGTTAAAGTTATTATATATAGGAGTCATTTGATTTTTTTTTTGTATTATTTTCTGTGATGATATGTCCATATTTTAATTAAGAATTAGAGTTAGAATCAAACATTAACATCTCTTTAAATTATCGAAAAGACGTCTATTTAACTACTAATACTTTTTTTGGAAGAAAAAACACCCATTCAATTAGGAGTTATGTCCAAATGAAACACCCATTCAATTATTATTATTATTTTTTTGTGTTTTAAATAAATTTATGAAAAGTTGTGTCAGAAAGGTGTTTGCAAGTCTAAGCACGTGTACCATTAAAAATAAAATGATTACACCTTATAAATTCACACCTCTTTACTGAGATACCTTTTTATTACATGCATCTATAAATACCGAGAGTCGTTCAATAGATATTTTAAAACTCCTTGTGTTTCAAGATTTTTCTCTCATTCTACTTGCTCTCCTTATCAGAAAAATATTTCAATAGCCTAGGCTTTCCCACGCTATATAATACGAAATCAATCTAAAACGGTAAAGTAAGATAGATAAAGGTGCTAAAATGCCTAAGCTTAAGGGGTTTAAATACGCACTTTTCAGCGCTCATCACACCCCCAAACTTAAATATTGCTAATCCCTAACAATGAACTAGAAAGTAAATGAATGAAATGAATAACTATACAAGTATGAATCTAAAAAACAATAAATGATAACGCCACTTTCGTAGGAAACACGATTGCACTTCGCATATGCAACAAGCCTTTTAAACCCCTAAGTTACCCCTAGTGGATGAGTGAAGTCTCATGAGGGTTTCCAGAAATGGTACCCACAAACATTAAGCTCATTATTTTAAAAGAGGCACCAATATTGCAAACAAGTATTGAGCGAAAACTACCTCAAGTATGTAAATTTTCAATCTTTTCCAAGCAATTTTCCAAAATTTCAACATCAAGTAAGCAAATATGGTCCTCCACACGTCAAGGAAATGATCATACAAATCAAAACAACTCTAGAATCATTTTTGATTGGACCGACATCAAATATGTTGCCATCTAAGCCAACTAAAGAATTAATCACATCCTTACCCTCAAATTAGCACACAAATCTAGTACCGATCATCAAGACAAAAAGTGAACCTTTTATTGAAACTTTATTGTTCTAGGTGTGCTTATTATTTTCACTCGATTTTTTTTTTATTTTTTAGGATCAAAGATGGAAGCATAGTGCAATATGTTGATCTCTTAAGCTTTCTAGTGATTCATGAGGTCGAGCGTTAGGTCAATGACTCCCAAACCAGACAGTTTTAGGGCATTAGGCGTTCAAACACCCCTACGGACTTACAAGCTCAAATCAACTAGGTTACAAATCAAAACAACCTCCATCTAAACATAGTCCTAGACTTCTACATTCCTTTTATCCCTTTTCATCTGCGTTAAATATTTTTCTTACTTTGATAATGAATGACCAGACAAAATGGAACATAGTTCAATGTGAATTGAGAGAGCAATTTATTTATTTTCACAGGAGTATTTAGTATGAGTCAATTCCGTCAATTAAAAAATAGAGTTTCGACCAAATTTAAGGATGTAATTTTTATAAGTATTGATTTTCTAAATTACTGTTTTTATTTTTCTTTTCAATTTCCTTTACTTGTGTTAGAATTCACTTGGTTTGAAGCACTTCAAAAAGATACTTGAATTCTTAATACCGTACCAATAGAGGAATAGATAAGGGAAACTGATATTTGTTGGTTGTACAAGGATGATTCTTTATTTTTTTATAAAATTCTATAAATCTTATAAATTATTTTGTATGAAGATGACAATAAATTTTTAATTTTTATATGACAAATTTCAAATTTAGCATGTCAAAGTTGTATATATATATATATTTTTTATGCATGAAGATGACAATAAAATTTTAATTTTTATATGACAAATTTCAAATTTATAATGTCAAAGTTATATATATATATATATATATATATATATATATATATATATATATTATGCTTAGACTAAAGAGTTCTAATATTGCACGTCTTTTTTTATCTATGCATATATATAGCTCTATTGCGCTTTGACTATAGCTTGCATAAAAGAGGTGAACAGATCGGTGAAGGTGGCATTGGTGTCGAAACTTAGTTGTGGTACTGGTCCGATTCGCCATAACTTTTCTCCGGCGATTGTCGCTGGATAAGATGGGTTGCAAGTGTTCTTCGGCAGGTGGAGGTTGGCTGTACGACGGCAGTGATGGTTCTTCACAATCTATTCTCTCATTCATCACACCCACTTCTTCATATCAAGGGAATTCACTGTCAATCCCTCAGATCAAGGGATGTGATGATATATATATATGTTCATTGCACATAATAGAAAATATTGAATTCTTCTAACATTATATTTTTCTCATGGTATAAGAGCTTAAACGCTTTTGGTAATCTACATCGTTTGCTCATTTCGGCAAACCCCTACTGATTCCGCTGCTATTTTGTTTATTCCGACAAAAGAATCAACAAGCCATGACAGAATCATCCATGGCAATGAAGGAGAATACATCGATTGGATCTAAGCATGAAGATCCAAATAATCCTTTGTATCTTCATCACTCTGACCATCTAGGAGTAGTCTTAGTAACTCAACATTTAACCGAAGGCAATTATAGTACGTGGAGTTGTGTTATGGTTATGGCTTTGAGTGCTAAAAATAAGATCGGTTTCATTGACAAATCTATCCCAAAGCCGAGCGACTCTTCGGTAGCTGAGTTACAACAATGGATTCGCTGTAACAATATGGTGAAATCATGGTTGCTTACTTCTCTTTCACCAGATATATATCAAAGTGTGATCTACAGTGATCTCGCATATAACATTTGGGCAGACCTGAAGGAACGTTTTTCACAGGTCAATACTCCTCATGTGTTCCAGATTGAGCGAAGTATTTATGAACTGCTTCAAGACACCATGTCTGTGGTGACTTATTTTACCAAATTGAAAGGGCTTTGGGATGAACTATCTGCTTTATACCCATTCCAGCATGCTCTTGTGGTGCCATGAAGGAGATCCAACAATATCAACAATGTCAAAAAACCATGAAGTTCCTTATGGGTCTCAATGACTCATACCATGCGATTCGTGGACAGATTCTTTTAATTGATCCATTACCCTCTGTTAACCAAGCATACTCTTTGGTGCTTCAAGAAGAACGACAACGAGAAGTGTCCTCTCACAAACCTACAATCCCAGAAGCAGCTGCTCTTGCAACGAGAGGAAACTTTGGCGGTCGAGAAAAATATGATTATATAAACTCTGGAAAGAAGAAAGCAGGCAAAGAACGTCCAAAGTGTGATCATTGGGGATGGGTGGGTCATACAATGGAGAAATGTTTTAAGCTTCATGGATATCCTCCGGGCCACCGACTCCATAAAGAAAATTTCAAAGTTACTGCTAATCAAATCTCATCAGTTGCAAGGCAAGAGCTATCAAGTGGAGTTCCTTTCACCCCATAACAATGCCAACAACTCCTTACTCTTCTCAACAATTCCAATAAAACAACTCCTATGGCACATCATGTAGGTAACACATCCACAATATCCAATCTGTCAGGTAAATCATTTTGTCTCACTTCATCTCTTGAACAAACTCCATGGATTCTCGATAGTGGAGCAACAGACCATATGGTCCACTCCCAAACTTGTTTTACTTCTTCTTCTCCAGTAAAAGGCCAAACTGTTAAATTACCTAATGGGACCCTAACTCCTGTAACACATATTGGTTCCATCATTTTTTCTCCTCATTTAACATTGACAAATGTCATGTGTGTTCCATCCTTCCATTTTAATTTGATTTCAGTCAGTAAACTTTCCAAAAACTCAAATTGTTCAATAACATTTTCCTCTGATTCTTGCACAATACAGGACCAACACTCGAGGAAGATGATTGGGATGGGATCTGAGCGGGATGGCCTATACTTTTTAGTAACCCCAGGGGGAGCCATGTGCCAATCAGCCAACTCCTTATCTTCTCAATTATGGCATCGTCGTTTGGGGCATCTATCTAATAAAGCTTTGCATTTGCTTTCAAATAATGTTTCTAAAATTAAAACCTGTGATGTTGAATTTTGTTCCATTTGTCCTTTAGCAAAGCAGACAAGACTTAAATTTCCTTTAAGCTCTATCTCAACCAAAAATTCTTTTGAATTATTACATGTTGATATTTGGGGAGGGTACCGAACACCCTCAATCTCAGGGGCTCGTTATTTTCTTACCATAGTGGATGACCATACTCGATGTACATGGGTTTATTTGATGCATCACAAGTCTGAAACCCGTCATCTCTTAAAGTCTGTTATTCAACTTGTTGAAACCCAATTTTCTTCCAAAGTTCAAACCATACGGAGTGATAATGGACAAGAATTTAGCATGCCTTCTTATTATGCAGAAAAATAAAATTTTTATCAACACAGTTGCGTGTCCATTCCACAACAAAATGGAGTAGTATAGCGCAAACATCGTCATCTTTTGAATGTAGCACGTGCTTTATTATTTCAAGCTGGCTTACCTAAACGTTTTTGGGGAGATGCTATTCTAACAGTCACCTACTTGATCAATAGAACACCTACACCTATTTTGTCCGGTAAGTCACCGTATGAGATGTTATTTAAAATTAAGCCATCATATACTCATTTGAAAATCTTTAGATGTTTATGCTTTGCTTCCATCCATGCAAAAAAACCATCAAAATTTGATGCACGTGCTAGAGGGTGCATTTTTCTTGGATATCTGTAATGACCCGGTCATTTCCTTCATTTCCTTTTTCTTCAGAATTTTACGGATGAATTTTTTTCATTGAAATTTCTTTTATGAGTTCAGTTTCTTGTCGTTTAATGTCGTCTTGAGTGCTCAGAAATGGTTTCTGAGACTTTTTCCTTTGGATTGACAACTTCCTTTGAGGACCGAGTCATTTCCACAATTTTCGTTTTTCGACACTATTCACTTTTTTGTCCTTATTCCTATTTCGTTCTTTTCCCTATTTCGTCTTTTTCCTGTTTGTCACTTTGTTGGCAAAACCTCGCTTCTTATGCTTGGAGTTGGTTTTTGACTTTAAATATCTTTATCGTGAGTGGTTTCCACGAAATACGTATCTTTACTTTTGCAGGAAAGTACTCTGGTTGCTCCCGGTGTCCATAAGGGCATGGATGCATAATTCTTTGAAATTAATTTCTTTTCTTGGGGTGTTTTTCATAAATATATTTTGAATATATTTTATTTCAGGGGTATATAAGAAAATATCTTTTGGAATATATTTTCATTATGGGGTAGTTTTGCAGTTAACCCTTTTTGTGGGGGCCATTGTGCAATTAATGAAAGTTGTTGCAAATTATCTTATTTTGAGCCTGGATCCTTATACAGGATTCATTTTCACTATTCATCGAGTCGTAAACTCTTAGAAGTCCCTTTTGGTCAATGTTTTCCAGTTTCAGGGTTTCTGGCCCCGGTTTGTGCCAAACTTGTTTGGGGCATAACTTTCTGCTCGAAACTCAGTTTTTGACACCGTTTCTTTTGTTATTCTTATTTTCTCATTTTGAATCTTTTTTGTTCATAGAGTTTCATCATTTGAGTGCGTCTGCTCAAATTTCACTTTTCCGGACCCAATGGGGCCCGTTCGGGGCACTTTTTGAGATTCTATAAAAGGGGGATGAGATATTTTATTTTTTCATCTTCCCCACTCTCTTGCACAACCTGAAGCTTCCATGGCAGCCCAAGGGAGGCTGCCACCTTCTCTCTCCTCAGTTGAACTTCATTTCTTTGTCAGAAAATAGTAGGGCATTTGCGTTTTGTGTTCGTGTTGACTACGCGCTTCTTTCACCCTTATTAGAACCCGTTTTTGGTCAAATTTTGAGTTCAAGTTTGAAGTCAAGTTGTGATTTTGATGGGGCTTCTTGTGGGTTCATGTAGATCGTGTTGTTCTTGATAAAACCCTTCGGTATCGTCGGATTCGGAACACTTTTTTTTCGGTGGGCTTTTGAGATTTTCATCTCAAATTGAGGTAGGGGATGTTTTAGGGTTATATTAATGTTGTATTGATTGTTATATGAGTATATAGAACTTGTGAGCATGCCTTGTTCAAGTTATAGAATTTAATTTAATTATTTTCTTTGTTTAATATTTAATTCTCATGATGCTAGGCAACTTAGAATTAAATTGTGGCATGCTATAAATTTAAGCCTTGGTATGGTGGTTGATATATATTAAATTGGGATTATTTGAATAAGAATTGCAAATTTTATTTAATATTTATCTTTTGTGAAAGTTTAATTCACCTAGTTGTATCAAGTATGGAATCAACTTGTAATGTGATATTAAAGTAGGTCTTGGTGAGTTCTTTAACATATATTAAATTAAGGACATTTAGATATGTTTAAAAATCTAGAGAAAATTAATTAATTATCTTAATTAAACTTATTTTTAAGTGTTGTAGTCACTTAAATTGATTTTGGGTATAATATATGTGAAAACTATGTTATGTCCTTTAACATATATTAATTTGGGATTAATATGAAATCTAGAGACTTTTCATGTTAAGTTGAAAATCCCTTTTAATGTAGTGAAATTAATTACCTTGTGAGCATATTACTATTGGATGTAGAATTAGTACTTGGGCCCTCTTAAAATGGTAATTGGACTTAGCATGATATAGAATATCATTGACTTGTAAAGCTTGTTTAAATATATCTTGTGTAGGTGTATAGCTTGTTAGAATATTACAATTGTTTACCTTGAAAGCTTGTTACTAAATTGAAGCTTATTTAGTACTTGTGGCTTAGGATGGTAATGTGATTCAATTGTTCTAAAATATTATTACTTTGTGTATAATTGCGTATTGGAGACTTGACATGTCATATGCTATTTAGACTTGAATCATAGGACATGGTTTGTGTGGATTCAACCTTATTTGTGGATGGAAGATGGTTTTATGCATTATTGATTTTGATATAAGCTTGGTTTAACTTATTGATTTTGGTATAAGTTTTGAACTTATTGATTTTGGGAAGCTTGTAAGGACATATTTCACGTGATGGCTAGAGTTTGGCTCTAGTACGGAGACAAGAGTCTTTTAAGTCATAAGTGCGCACTAGGTAGTACCTTGTGGGTCGTAATTGCCCAGAATATCTTATGCATGTGCGCACTAGGTGGTACCTTGTGGGTCGTAATTAACTGAAAATACTTGCTTGGTTTAGCGACTGCATGTCATAGTCTTTCCACTATTTGATTTCGCATTTAATTTCAAGTTGTTAATCATGGATTACTTGTAACTTGAGAATTGATGCTTGTTTTGGATATTTGAATCCTACTTAGTATACTTGAACTTGTATACTTGCTCCGTGAGTTTAAATTTTATTTACTATGCTTGTGCCGCGTATACTTGTTTTAGGCGTACTTCTTTTAGCTTAGTATACTTGTGTTCATATACTTGATTTACGAGATTTCCATATAAAAATGTATACTTGTGTGCATATGTTTAGACATTGCATGACTTGTCTTAATATAGTTTAGTATACTTGGAAATGTATGCTTGTATGTTGTGTAACATGTTTTAACAATGCTTAGTATACTTGAGCATGTATCCTTGTATGCCGTTGTTCACTTTAAATTGCATGAGTAGCTTAGGATGATCCATGAGTCTCATTTTGACATAGACATTAGGTGGCATGAGCCCATTTAGCATGTTTCACCTTAAGGTGATATAGTTGTAAAATGCTAGGTCGATGCATACTCATCTCCTACGAGTAGCTTTATGTTACTCACCCACGTAGTGGGGACATTTTTCAGGTACAGGAATCAAGGTTCGAGATTCTCATATTGCTTGGATGATTTGTAGCCTTGAAGGTTTCAATTCTTGTAAAAGTTGGCTTGAAATGTCACTTGTAGCCTTATATGTCAAAATGTGTATATTTGATTATAACCATGTAATGTGTACATAAGTACACTATTTATAATGTATTTGACATGTATGAGATGAGGCCATAGGCCAATGACATCTAATTTGTATCCCAT